AAGTATCTATCAGCATCATGATCAGTTTACCAATATATTATAAAGAGAAGATAGTTGTTGATTTCATATTGCAGTTTATGCGATAACTGCATGCGCGCGAGTATAACAGATTGCTTTATATCCTGTAGTACATATAAGAAGAATCTTGGACCAAGGCTTTAAACGAAGGGGCGTTCTACAGTATCTGCTTATCTTTGTACATCTGAGCGTTGCAATAGTCTTATTTACAGATATGTATTTTTAAGTATCAAATACTATAGACGTATGACTTACTGCAATATACGATATTATTTTCTGATATAATAAATTCTGGAAAGCTTTATCTGACTGGATAGAAATATAAGTGCAAACATATTTTAAATAGAAAGTGACGTCTGGTGCGGTATGTGTCAAATCCTTTTCGTAGCGAGAATCCGAGCCTATTAAAGATCTTATTCTAAATTAAACTGAGATTGAATTATCATAGGAGAGTACTTTGTGAGTGTGAAGGACTTGTGTCCGATTCATATGTGCATTTTGACAATAAATATATTCAAACAATTGAATGTCTTCCCGATTTTCGTTTAGTTTTAAACAAAAACTCTAGAAAATTTTCTTTTTTGTAACTTATAGATGAATTTAGTTATTTTTTCCGATCAGATATGTATCTCGCCTTAAAGCAGAATTATTTTTTTTTAAATTTATTATGTATTATCGCTTCCATGATTTTGTTTTATTTAATATATTTTTTTATTTATATTTATTTTTTTTTTGGGGGGGGGGGAGGGGTTCGTAGCAGAAGAACGTAACACATGCGTTTTAATTTCGAAACACATACATTAGAGTGTACTGCATAAGAAACTGCGCCTTTGTTTATTCTTTGATATATTGTTGAACAGTTCAAGTATTCAAATCAGTGAATGATTGTTGCTTGTCTCCAATATTACATTCATCTGTTTATTAAATAAAATCACTTAAAATCGTTATGCAGTGTCAGAAAAGTAGTACCCGGGAAAAGGGCGGGGTCAATTATGTTTGGATCCCCTTCCTCTATTTTTTATTCGATTAAATAAACTTTTTAATTACCACCTTACCACATTTTTTAAAATAATTGAACCGAAGACATCTAAACTACCAATCTTAGTGAAGAGTCTTTTCTAACCCCCCCCCCCCCAAAAAAAAAAAAATGTCCCAATGTCGAAGATATGTCGCGAACTAAAATAGGGTATATCATATGAAGTGACAAATAAAGTATGTCCTGGAATATTCATATTCCAAAAGCGTTATTTTTTGTTTAATTGTCATCTCCAAGTAACATTTTTTACATCACTTGCAGAGGGATTCCCTTCTATTTATAGATCAAACTATTCATCATTTGATTTTTTTTTCACTTAATGATCTAATGGCCGACCTGCTTTTCCGCGATTTTATTTTCGCAACCTTTCTGCTTTTCCGTGATGATGTTTTACATGTCAGTGAAATTGTTCATACAGAAACAAATCGTGGTAACAAATATACATGTATTACATATGGACCTCACACAGAACTGTAAAAGCATATATATATATGTGGTAGTTGTACTTTTTATTTTTAGGATATTTGTTTTAATTAATTGTGTATATTATTCTCATTTATTATTTTATTCATTCACTCATTCATTCAGCGCTGCGCAATGCGATGTACTAACACTCTTTGTTGTCTTTGTTCAGTGTCTGTTATAAATCTAAACACCCCTATTTTAAATAATGTTCTGTAGATCTTTTAATATCTAGACCAGTGCTTGTTTTTAATCTTTGTTTTTATCCAGTGCTAAGTAGGCAATGGTCAACATGTTTTTACCTGGGTGACGGAAGAGGTACATGTTAAAATACGTTGCGGAAAAGGCAAAAAGTTTAATCTAACATGTCACGATAAAGCAGTATTTTTTCGCGGAAAAGCAGTGTCGAATCGCGGAAAAGTGAAACTGCGGATTTAATCTGTTAAAGATGTCCGATCTATGCTATGTCTGATCATCCTAGATGTGATTGAGAAAGCCAGTATAGGCAAACCGCCTAAGAGTAAACGAGGGTCCAAAATACATGCATTGGAAAGGCACGACCGACATCATAGTGCGCTGTCTTATACTTTATTTTATACATCCTATGTGTGCAAATCGTGAGTCGGACACCTTTTTTCATTTTAATTGGATCACCTCGGTATTTTACCTCAAAATGCATTCAGATGTAATAGAATTTCGGACACATTTGACACTGGGTCGGATACTTTTCTACATCTTTAAAATGATGCACATACGTACGCACGGACCTATAGAGGGGGTGGGTCCGCAGTGATATTATATTTGTATAATAAAATAACCAACAGATGTCCTAGGAAAGCCCCCTCCACACACACAAGAAACACGGACCCCTTAAAATGGCAAGAAGAGTCAATTTAGCGGTTTGTTCACGAGAATCGAAATGTCTTACACTTGCACCCCCTTTCAGGAATTTTTTTTCTTGTCAAAACATTTCTGTGTAGTTCCCCCATCCCCCACCCCACCCCCACACCCGAATTGGAGAGGTTTTACGATTGTACAGATGGGGGGGACCACGCTCGTTTAAAAAAATGACTCATATATTTTTTTTTTTTTTGGACGAACACAAAAAGGTGGAAAAAAGAAAAAAAAAAACTCTCCAATTCGTGCTCAGATGTAGTCGACGTCAAATTATGACGTCATTATTGTTATACGTAAGCATGATTGAAAAGAACGTAATTTTAAATTTTACTTGAAATACCACATTTAAATGTGAGTTTAAGATATTCTACAACAAAATAATTGACATATTAGGGATTATGTAGTTAACAAGAATAAATGTGATATATTAATAACTAATTTAGGCTACTTACATATGTAATGAACTCATAATTACTGTTAAAATGGAGGACCTTGCTTCAGTTTCTGATAGCAGAACGTTCATAAAATGTAAAACTCATATTGTCCACACTCGAGTACCTCTAAGATATTATGCATAAAGATGCATCCATGTAATATTTTTCTGTCTGCAAAGTTTGGAATTGGTACTTGAGTGTGGCCACATTCAAATTTTGAAATAACTAGGCCCTACAGTAAATCAACGTATTTTAGCAGTTTTTTAACTTCATTTGTATATTTGATGCTGCGCATGTGCTAAAGACCGTGGCCTGTGTGACAAATAATTGTATGTAGAGTAGCATGACATCGTGAACTATAATATAGCACATGACAGGCTTTGTGATATCAAACTTCAGTTTTGTCTAAAATCTTAGGCACATTTAGATGGTTCGTGGTTCTAGCTTTTTTATTCATACACTACTACAAAACCCTTCTTTTACTATTCTACAACAAAAAGTGGGGGGGGGGGGGCAATCGGCTTTTCATTTAACATTTCAAATAGTAAAGTCTTTGGAAAAAAAGGGGGGGGCTGCCCCCCCCCCCCCCCCCCGTTGCTATTTGCCTGAAATATGAAACAAATTTATTTTAAAATGTTATTATACTCCAACTAACAAAAATTATTTTTTAAGAAATGATTTAGAAATGGGTTTTGTAATTTGAAATTAGTCACACTTTGTTTTAGTAATTTAAAACTTTTTTAAAAGCGAATCTTAATGTTAGCATACTGAAATTTCAAGAGACAGAAAGTATAAAGTTAGGTAATAAGAGTGCTCTAATTTTGTACAAAAGCACAAATCTCTCTCTCTCTCTCTCTCTCTCTCTCTCTCTCTCTCTCTCTCTCTCATACACACAAACACATACATATTATATGGGAAGATATCATACATTCGATGGATAAATCATCCATGAGTTTTCAAGATAGGAAGTTCTTATTTTGCAGATTAATTGGATATGTATTAGAGATGTGCATATAACTTTGATTTTGGTTTTTGATCGTTTATGAAAAAATGCCAGCTGTTGAACTTTAGTCATCGTTTTACAAAATATTGCACATAGGGTACATTGTATGTTTGAAAACTCCACCTTCAGTTTTCAGAATAGGAACTTTTTTACAGATCATTTTTAGATATATCAGAGATGTACATGTTACTTGGATTTTTATTTCTGATCATTTATGGAGAAAATGTCCTTTGTTAAACTTAATCATTTCTATACAAAATAACCAAATAGAGTACATTGATTTTGTTGGGATGTCACCTTATACAGTTTTCAAATAGAAAGTTTTTATAGTGGAGGAAATTCACATAGATCTACAAAAGTTATTTCCCTTCTGGGGGTAATCTAGGGTCAACCGGCATAAGTTGCTGTTTTCCCTCTGAAACATAACCAACTTATGGGGCTGTATCTAATAAATAAAATGTATATATTTATGTTCATTATGTTTTCTTTGTTGCCCAATACTTTATTACCAATAAATTATCAAAGAAGTTTAAATATTCACAACTTCAACAGGAAAGTTTCAAAGGATATAGTGAGAAAAATGGGTACATGTATTTCACGACAAAGGGATATATTTTTTTTTGCAAATCGAAAATTTGTCTCTTGATGTGAGAAATACCGGTACAGTTCACACAAAGAAAACCCGGTTTGCATTCACATATTGACAGTTTTTCATTTGTTATAACTTTATTGGACATTATTTACAAACTTGAAAAAAGAAATAAACTAACCTGATCATTTTACTTATTTATGATTTGTATGACCTGTTCCTTAAGATATCATTGAAACAAATATCAAGTTTCAGTATTGTATTATAAAAAAAAAAATTCCTGGATGTCCGAGTGTTAAATGTTCTATTTCTGAATTATAGAGTTCACATTTTGCTTGCATGAAATCATTTTAACGGCTCTTTTTAAAGTTCCTATTCACGGAATCGTGAACTCATTGTAATTTTGTAAATATACTGGTAGATTATCAATGCATTTAAAAATCTACTTATTCGAATACATTGCAAGCACTGAGGGTTACAAATACTTCTTGCTACCAGGAAGAAAAAATAAACTGTGTTTTAAAAATGAAAACTTTACCATTCATTTTCCGATTGATTTTCGTGTTTCATATGCAATTTACAGCTGTTCATTCACAGTGTGATAGCAGAAGAGGCACAGAGGGAACTACACAGTGTGTTTCTTCCATTTATTTCCATGAAACAAAACAGGAACCAGCGGTGTGTCTTAAAAAATCGACCATCAACTCTTTGGCCCGCCATATTGCCTGTCGGGATCGGTCTGCCGATTATTGTTGGTATTACTGTTCACTAACTCCAAACAGAGGAGGTATCAGCACTTGTCAGTGTGACTCAGATAATTCGAAATCAATTCAGTCAGTAGTTCCCCTGCATTGTTATATACCCTCCGGTAAAAGCTGTTCGTGGTATAGGGAGTGTTTGGAAACCCGAATTCCATGTGAATCGACAAATTATAAATATGCTATAACATATGCAGAAAAGTATTGTGAACTCTATGAACAAAATTATGCCAGTTTTTCTTTACAGGGAAAAACATGGGTGGATGCGGTAAGAAAATGTTTGCAAGAAGGTTTAGTCTACGCACTGTTTCCTAAAAAAACAGTGTCTTGTGAAAATCTAAAGGCAAAGGCATTTCTATCTCATATTGATTGTTATCAGAATCCGGCTCCAGATGTTCGTTTCTGTGATTTGAGCCTTTCTGATCAGATGCGAGTATTTTGGACAATAAAGGGTGCATTGTTGAACGAATTCAGAAAGACAGTATCTTCGGGATGGACAGTTTTGCGATCTTGTATCTCTGAATCTTATCCTCAAAAATCTGAGAAATTAGTCATGCTTGAAATTGAATCTACTAACAATCTTATTACAGAGGAAAAAGTAGAAAATATTACCAAACATTTGTCTCGTGTACTCGGATGGTCACAAGACATAATGTATGCTTTTGCAGGTCCAGACATCAGTGATTCTCAGGCAAAATCCGTCTCAATAAAAATATTTATTTCTTCTCAATCGAAGAGCCAATTAAGACTGGATGAAGCCATTAACTCTCTGATACAGAAAGCAATGCCTGGGACATCTATTGTTCTGACGCTGGATGATGGTAGTACAGTAAAGATCATAGCAGTAACAGGCTGTAATGACCCACAATGCATGTCTACTTCATTTGCTTTCAGAACAAGTAAGATTAATCTTTTGTAGTTTTGTGTCCCCTTTTAACAAAAGAACTAAGACTTGGACCAAAAATCCACTTTTACAGTTTGATTTATTCTTTAAATTGATTTACTTGACTTTAAAATGAATAAGATTTCAATCATTAGTAAGTATGTTAGTATTTTTTTTTTCAAAAAGTAATGAAACTAACAAGGAGTGTTTACCTTCACATGTTGTTAATAAATGTATTATGAATACAAAACCAGTTATAAACTAAAGCTAAATATGATTTTCTAAGTAAGTAAAGGAATTTATCAGTCATTACTTTTAATACTTTTAGATGATGATCTCAGAAAGGGTCTGTGTGCTTGTGTTACTAAAGTCTCTACTGCTGTTAACGGAAGGAAACAAGGTAAAACTATTATATATTTCTTTTTTAATGGAATATTTCAATTAGTGATAAATAGAGTAAACTCGCTCATTCCAACGATTTTTAGCAACTACTTCTTCTGAGATTGGTGGACGACTGCGAAAAGGATCATGCTACAAAATCGTAGATGGTCCTTCCAATAATGACGATTACACCTGGCACCAACTCACACACTACTGTTGGACTGAGGTATATATGTTTATTCATAAACCTCAAGTTCTGAGTGTTCAAAGCATTATAATAAATGAATCTATAATAAAGGTATGATTATGCATTTTCAGAATCTATGGGTAGCAAATTCGTACCTGGAAGCGTCTTTACTTTCTTACTGCAATGAACCGATCTGTCCGGAACGGTCTAAAAGTTTGGCCTGCCAAATTATAAACAATACACAGAACATTACATTGAGGGACTACCATCCCTCTGGGGTGATAGACGAAGCCAATCCCAGGCAGAATATCATAGACACTTGCAGTGGTCACGCTGCATGTCGATCAATGTAAGTATGTACTATACCAATTACGTATATTGATTGGAGGTTTTTCGAGTTCGTATATATCTTCATATTTTCAGGTATAATTGTACGGAATGTGCCTATCTAGGTGCCCCAGGTGGCTACATTTGCCTCCAAGAAAACATGCTGACGTATATTAATGAACTTGGAAAGACAATAGGCATAGAGGTTAGTATTGTGAACAGGGTACTTAATTTTTTTTTCTGTCACAGCTTTTATCGATCCTATGAACTGTATAATTAAGGCATTGGATCTAATATGGATAAGTTGATTAGCATAAGGTTTGGTCACATTATGACCTGCCTTTCACATAATGGATAAAAGCCATTTTCAAACTTTACCTTCATTCTTAGTCGCCCGCGTAGCGCATTGGTTAGAGCGTTTGCTCTAGAGTCGCGGTGTAATTAGTTGATTCTTACGTCGCGCGGGTTCGAATCCTACTGCGGGACGTGGAGACCGGTCCTTCGGATGACACCGTTTAAACCGAGGTCCCCTGTCGCAGAAGGGTGCTGGCACGAAAAAGATTCCTCGCTGCTCAATTGCCCTGAGTGCCAAGTATAGGTCGAAATTTGCAGCCCTCCACCGGTAAGTGGTGGTGTCTCCATATGAGTGAAAAATATGAGGGACGTTAAACAACAATGATGTCGGTACAAACGTTTGACAGAAATTTGTAGATTCAAATGATCTTCTTGACAATGATGTAGGTACAAATTCCTAGAATGCAAACATAGGCAAGTACTGTTGATTTCTTAAATATGAATATATAACGTCGGTTCAATTCCCAGGATGTAATCATTGTACCATACAAAACGAATGTTGTTCTGTTGTGCTTTCTAATCTTAATTTTTCTTTAACTGAACGTAACCTCCATCGCTGGTGCCTGCCATTCCTGTTTCTCTAGACATTACAAGGGTCAGGCTTTTGATTTAAAAAGTCCTTCAGGAAACAGTCAGAGAGACTATCCGATTTACATACAAAAGTGTAGAGATATGAAAGGAACGGCAATTGATGAAGGCACTCATATTCATTGTCAATTTAATGAATAAGCGTATAAATTAGATAGTGATTATATTAAAGATTTAAATGTACAGAGGCAAGTATCAGGCATGTATGAGATTCCATAAGTTCTTCGTTTTTCATTATTTCTAGTATTAAAGATGCGTTTTTGTTTATTTTATTTTCATCACATGAATTATAAGAAAGTCAATGTTCCGTTATTATAGATACCCATGTCGTTCCTTGTAGAAAATATTTAACAATAACATATATACAGTGATATAAATACGATTATTCGCCAATCAAAGGCTATCGGGGGAATGTATTATTCAAACAAGATGATCAATTTAAAAATTCAAAATTTGAAACGCTTACATATCTACAATGGTCTGAGATTGGAAATATTGAAGATGTGCAATACCAACGTAAGGAGATGCAATATGAAACTATTGATGACATAAGTCAGCAATATCCGCATTTAAATGTTTGCCTCTAAATGTATGCTGGCTCCTTTGTACCTGCGTAGAAGCAACGAAAAATATTCTATAAGAACAAGGTACGGTTTCAATACAAATCTTGCCCTGTGTTTTTCTTAAAAATAAAAGTGATGTAAAAAATTAAAACTCATGCTTTTTGAATTATTGAAATTCCATGCAGAAAGATCATACAATTCTTTTTTCTCACATGACCTTCCAAATGCTAATTGTGACGTCATAAACTTGTGCATTTTCCCGTATTTTCTTAAAAAGTTGCAGAAGACATCAATTTTTAATGGAATTTTCTTTCAGATAATATTGTCCACAGGCATCGCCCACAAAGATTTTGAGATATGTGATTTTTCAAAGAATTTTACACAACATATCTAAAAATTAACGTGGGCGACGGCTGTGGACACTATTTTCTTAAGGAAAATAACCCTTGAAATGGGTCATTTTGAGGCTTTTTCTGATTAAAATAGAGAAATGCATCAAATTAATGACGTCATATATCAAGAATGGTACTCCATCATGCTATATTCTTTCCTGATTTATTACAATCATATACTCAACTAATATTTAAGCCAGTTTCAAAACTTTTTGAAAACATTAAATTTTTAGGGCACAATAAAGCTAAAACCATACCTTCTTCTTTACAAAATCAATATATGTGCATGTATCAAACTGAGCATAAAATATGACCATGGGTCTAATGTTAGCATTTTTAATAATAAATGCATTACTGATTTGAAATCAAAAATTATTCTGAAGTAAATTCTGATTTTTCAAAGAGGGAGTTTCAAAAAATGTTTTTCTGTAAAGAAAAAAAGAGAAAAGAATCAGCAGAAATTGGAACTTGGTCAATTCTCGACCCCCATTTTTGCCCAGGGCCATTGAGAGGAGAAAATGTAAATTCCGAAATATAAAAAGGCTCCTGCATTAAATGTTTAAGGAATTCCGGGAACCAGGTTTTTATAAAATGTAAAAAGTGTTTTCGACCCCTATTTGGCCCCTAGGGTGAAAACGAAAATTCCAAATCGTTATTGCACATCTACAAAACATCCCAAACCATCTTACAAAAGATGAGATGGCTACTGTGAAATATGTATGAGGAGTTCTGGGGACAAGGATTTTGTAAAATAAAAAACATCGTTTTTTTTTACCCCCATTTGGCCCCGATGGAAATGAAAATTCCGAAACATTGCACATCAACAGGACACCTACAACAAATTACCTTCCAAAAAATGATTTGGTTACTGGATGAATTGTATGAGGAGTTCAGGGAACCAGAATTCTGTATAAAAAGGAAAAAAACTTCGTTTGTCGACCACCAGTTGACCCCATGGATGAAAATCTATACTAGTATTCCGAATCCAGCTTATTTCACATCTACAGGAAAACCTGGTTTCCAAAGACTTCATAGATATTGTCAATAGGAAACTCAATCAACTTCAGAGTATTTGTGTGTAGCATAAGAATGGCTAAAAAGCAGTGTGCAAATGTCAGCTTTCTTATGAAAAAGAGTTTATTCAAAAACTTCTACATGAAATATAAAGATAACGAACAGTATTCAAAGTCGAAAGCCCAATGAAACTACACAAATTTGGAGCAGAGCAAATTTTAGAGGTGGGATCAGGTGCCATGGTGGAGTGAGTATCCCCTTGCCGACCGGTCACACCCGCCGCGTGCTCCTTGACATGATCGGGAAAAACGGTAAAATCCGTAGACAGTTCAGTGTATAAATAATGGCCTAACAATTAGTATGAAAAACGTCAGTCAGCATTTGACTCAATGATACGTTGTATGTGGTGATTTTCATACTTTTTGTGATTTATATAGCGTTAGATAATTCTGCTACAGATGAGTGATATATTATGATAAACTATTGATGTGTCAGTGGTCGATCAGGGAGGGACAAATAGCTGAAGCATACCAGTGGACAAAATATGTTTAAGTACCCTTACAAATACAATGTATCGTGTAATGCGGTGCGATGATAAAGTTTGTTATAAATTGATTTAACTTTGATAAACGTTACTTTGTTGACGAATATGGGGACTGTGTGACTGTCGACAAAGAGAAGGACAAGAATTTTTTTTCAATCCTGCAATTTGAATCCCCATTTTGTTTTAGATTATAAACAATAATATCTTTGAAATGGCGGAGGGAACTTCATTTCTCCTATGAAATTCTGTGGAGGAGTCTGCCACAGGATGAGCTAAGAATGAAGAGTAGGACCTCTACACTTTCTCGGAATGGATTATAAATGTTTTAGAAGTATATTAAACAATCGTAATAGACAAATAAGAAAGTGCGTACCATTTATCCTTCTCAGTAGACTGGAGGTGATAAAAGAATGAGAAAGACTGCAAGGATTTATGTTTCCCTCATACAAAACTTGTAATAAAATAGTCTTTATTTAATTGTATGGTCTACTATTACGCCTACAATTTAGAAGAACTGAGGCTAATTATTCTAAATCTGTTAATCTAATTTATAGTCGCAGTTCCTTAGAAGAACTGAGGCTAATAATTCTAAATCTGGTAATCTAATTTATAGTCGCAGTTCCCTTTCAAATGATGAAATTCTTCAAAACCACGTTTAAGTAATATAAATACTTTTTACATTCTAGTCAGCCGAAGTGGATTTTGGTTTACCGTACCCGTACTGGATTCCAAATCTTTCAAACAAAGATGTATTGCAATGTTCAGAAAATGCATTACCATGCTTTTACCTTTACTCCTCACAAAATTATTGACTGTTTTGAAGAAGAACCCAAAGGCGCAGTGAGATAAAAGATATTCTTAAAAATGGTGAACATGAAATGCAGAGTCTCAAACTTTCAAAAAATTTGAAATATCCCCCCAAAAAATCAATACTATTGTAACGTGTGACTTTTAACTATTCCTTACGATAAACAAAAGACTAGGCTTTCTGACATGGCTCTTTGATATTCACAACTGCTTCTTAAATAAATACGGGAAAAAAATTTCATCATTACTTGTGATTGGTCGTCTAGAAAATTACTTTGTAAAAAAAAAAACATTCTTATTCTTCATACAAGCACTCTGAAGTTGATATCAAAAGATGTTTGTGTTCCTCATTGACCACTGACAAAATCTATATAGTCTTTTAATACTGGTCTTCCAACAGTCTGTTGGAAATACAATGACTACTAATTGTGCTCCTTTGTTTACCGATCTGTTTATATATTTTTATATGGTATGATTTTATTTCAAAAACTTCAAATGAGAAGAAAAAACTCTTGCCGTGGCATTCAATATATCGACGACGATTTACAGCCGAATCAATTAACAACAGTTACTTTCATCTATATGTCTACTCTATCCCATGTAACTCGAAATAAAACACTACAGAGCTAGTTTCTTATTTAAATGTTTTGCTGGTTATAGACATTAATGGCAAACTAGAAACTAAACTACGTGACAAACAAAACTCGACATCACCTGCATACTGTGTTAATGTAGTACGCAAGAGCATGCTCTGAGTACGATCAATGTTTAGGCCAAACAAGGCTGTTTTCAAATGGAAAACATTCCGAGGATTTTAAAATATCTAATTTATAGTTTCAGATATCTGTGCTATAATTGGTACACTCATTGAATGATATAGTTTAAGTAAAACTTGAACTGAAAGATTGTTATTTCCAGATATACTTGATTTCAGTGCGTATGAAAACATTTTTAAATACGGTACTATATCAGATTAATTAAGTATTTTGGACTCAAGTACCACATACAATAATGCTGTCTTAGTTTTAAGCTTTCAAAGAGTACAAATAGGTAGCGTTCAAAAAGAGTTACACTTCATGGCGAAGTAAGATTTTCAATATTCTACAAAAACTAAACTTGATCTCTTTAAGAAGTATTTCCCATATATGGAGTTTAGGTTTAAGTTAAATAAAACTTTTGTTGACATGACCAATTGAAAAATTGAGCAAAATTTCAAACACGGGAAAACTTTACTTCTTTAGTAAAATCTTTAAAGTATACTGAACACAAATAGCAGGATTACCTAAAGTTTCCTTAGAAAAAGGATGAAAGATTACAGCTAACAAAATTAAGAATTAGTGCACATTCACTATGTATTGAAACAGGCAGATGCATGTATTTTAAAATAATGATCTTTAAGGAAAAACGTATATGCTATGCTTGTAAATTATTTGTTGAAAACGAAAAATATTCTGTACTTTACTGTCCTCTGTATGACATACTTCGATTTCTATTAAGTTTAATTGATTTTTTTGTGATAAATTATACTTTGGTACTGATCCCATTAAAGAAATTGTTAAAGATATGTCTAAATAAAGTAAAATAGGTGTACATATAAATATACCAATCTTTAAATAATTGAACCTAGGTTCAAATAAATTACACTCATCTAATTCAGTCAAAAATAGGTTCCATGCACAATTCAAATAAAAATAGGTACAAATGAATTATTTCTTCACCTCTAAATCAATTATACCTATCTTTAATTATAAGTATTTGTACTTATTTTCGATTCTGTTATAACCAAATGAATTGAATCCTATCTTCAAGTGAATTAAAGATAAAGGAATAATGATTACAATTGAATAAAACCAATCTTCAATTCATTTGCAGATAGATATATTATTAGAAGAAAGGTACAAATATTTTGAATATAAGTTAATTTGGCGTTCTATATACTCCTTCTATGCAACTGTTCTCACCTTGTGTTTTTCACAGGTGCTTGAGAGAACTTTTAGTATCAGAGATTGTGAATTTTTATAAAAGGCAAGTTTTTTCAGTTGTAATACTTTGTGAATGTGTCATAAAAATATTTTATTTTAAAAGAAAGTCGAAGAACCCTTTGGGTACGGAACACAGGGGGGGGGGGGGGGGGGGTCCCTTCCCCAAGTACCTGTGGCGTTTCCAGGGATCTGTGTGTCTTCCCATATCTTCTTACTTTTTTCATGTGAAGGCCCGATTGCCTTTTTAATTACAAAATTTATAACTTTCCATCAAATTCAGAAACAAATTTGGTAGTTGAAAAGTTATTGGCTGCAATACTAAAGTGTTCCTCATCACCTCAGCTTTCTTGGAGATTTTATGATTGCCAGCTTTAAAAAAGGGAGGGGGGGGGGGGGCTTTCTCTTACTTTTCGGTATTTTTTTCAATGAAAGAATTTGTCAGAGCTCAACCATACTGCAACAAAAAGTGGGGAGGGGGCCAAGCAGCCTATAAATTAAAACTACAGCAAAAGGCTATTCTCCAAAAATGGGGGGGGGGGGGCACGCCTGACTCCCCTCCTACTACGGGCCTGTGCAGGCTTATAGAATTGTGTAATAAATCATTAGTTAACTGTTGTACATCTCAAGCAGAAAACTTAAAAATACACAATCACGAAATTGTTGGATCGGATTTTTCCATACTGCATGTGACTCCTCTTGGATCCGCCCTTGTTAACACCTCTCATTGTTCTATTTTTGACATATCATTAGTCACATGACTACCATATGACTCAACGTTTTGTAAAACTCGTGATGCGGTGATAAAACTTACGGTATAACACTAGCCATCGGTTCGAAACTCACACTCTGATTTTGTTTTTCTAGAGATTTATAGGTAAAGTATTATGTTTGTACTATTTGATGTTTTATTTTGACAAAATTAACGTAAACATAATTTTCGTTTTTTAATGTAATCAGGTAATGTTTACTCAACTGTGTGGCCATTCCATAATGGAGAAGGCAGAAGTACTGGGTAAATAAATTATTTATGTCTCTGATGGAGGGGTATATAATATGGATGTAATAGCTTTTTGCAGAGACATACAAAACATTTAACGTATCCCATTCGGCGATGCCGATTCATCGAGTTCCCATAGATAGGAGCTTATTTTGCCATTGACATTTTACATAAGGTTTAATATCAATCATATTTGTGCACCATTTCATTGTCAAGTAATAAACTAACTATATTTTTGAATTTATATTATGATTACTAATCATCTTGCATGTATACATGTATAATGCAGTCATCATGATCATATATACATGTTCGAGATAACAAGATTTAATAAGTTATTAAGTAGTTGGGACTTTCAAGTGACTTCGACATACCCAAGGTATTTGAGGTATCCTTGTGTGAGATTAAGAAGCCCAAGTGTTTATAATAACATAAATAAATGAAAATTAAGCTAAAGAGATCAAGATCAGTGTTGCATCTATAGTTCAGCAACAATATAGGGTTTGAAATGCTTCTTTATCTAACATGATGTCAAATGTCATGGCTTCATGTTGAATCTGTGAATTTATATATAATCATAATGGTCTGAGAAGTTCAATGTGCTTGTATCGGTAACATGTGTGAAATGATGAACCATCTGTGCTGGGAAATCTGAATACGTACCTGTCATTTTGATTGGTTTCCTTGTATTGTTCTCTGTCACCTGTATTACAATATTTATCAATGACATATCACTTAATAAATAATTAAAAATGAACTGTAAAATTTGAACATGTTTGTTAGATATAGGACCTTATGTGAGCAAGAGCAGAATCATTTATGCAATATTAAAATGCTTCACTACAGTTTGGGTTTAACTTAACAGTTTGTGATTGTTTTACTCTATTTTTGAAATTGTCAGTTTAGGTGTGGGACATTTTAAATTAATATTCTGTTACAGTACATAATTTTCGTTTTTTCTGTTTAGATATTGAAAGCCCTTGATATTCTGTATATAATTTTTGTTTTATCTGTTTTTATATTGAAAGCCCTTGATATTCTGTATATAATTTTTGATTTATCTGTTTTGATAATGACAGCCCCTGAGTGACCATGAAGGTGCTTGTTCTCTCTCTGCTTGTGGCGGGCGCCATGAGTGCCATTGTGGAATTCAAAGATCGAGATATTTTTGAGCCACTCTCAGATGAGATGATTTGGTTTATCAACAAACTGAACACATCATGGAAGGTACGTAGAATATTGTGTGGAATTTTTTTTTTTAATTTGATATCATGGATATCATGGGAATTCTCTGAATATATAGACTGTGATCAGAGAGGAATCCCCTGGTTCTGACAATAATTTCCTTAATATTGCAGCATACAAATTAATTTAAATAGAGCTTTATACTTCCTAGTATATTGGATATGCTGTATAAGAATTATAAACATTACACCCTAAATTAAAAATATCTGTAGAAAATGAATAATCTAAGAAATGCTTGAAGAAAGTCATTGATAAAGAGCAGTTGTTAGGGAAATTCAGACTTTTAAGGAAGTGGAATTTTTTCAATCTTTCATTTCAATTTCATGTAAAGAAGAGGAGGAAGCTAGTTGTAAGCAATTTTAGCACCAGGTACTTACTTGTGTATAAGGAAATATAGTCTTAAAGCATCTGGCATTATACATCTATTGATTGGGTTCGAGGGCAACCAGTGTTTTGTCAGATCTAAGAACCAAACTGTTTGCCTGAGGCCGTTAGGCTGAAGCCTAACAGTTTAGTTTGAGGGGTCGACAAAACCCATTTCTCCCGAGAACACAATCAATAAATGTTTTGTTATACCTTTTTTTTGACATACATGTACAAAGTATCTTGTGCTGGCTTCCATGATATAAATTTCCTTCACCAGCACTGTGGTAAAACTTGGTCAATTCGGTCAGTGTCAAATACCAAGGAATGCAAAAAAGATTTAGCTGATACCGTCCACAGTGTGACGTAAGTGGTCCAATATCTCATCCACAGGTCCAATATCTCACTCTGAGGTCAAACATTTTTTTTATGACCGCTCAGAAAAACATTGGAAATGTTAGACTTCTTTTTTTTTTACTATAGCTATAGACAGGAACCAATTTTAAAAAGTATAATATATCTTTTTCACTCACTGAATACTGGAAACATAAGGGGATTCATTTTGTTTTGATGGTGGTGTTGTTCGGGTGGGGGTGGGGGTGATGTCTCTTTAGAGATCACATTGGACATTATTTATAAGAAGATGTTTTCAGCCAGTTTAATGAAAAGTACCGGTATTTGTTTTGTGTGGTCATATGAAATGTACAGGAAATTTGTCAGCAGTTACCTGGGTATCTTAAGGGCATTGTGTTTTAAAGCATCTTTTGAATTGTTCCTGAAAACTGTGCATTTAGAGTGCATCATGCTTTTGAAATGATGAGTTGTTTTCAGTTTTAATTTATATATGGATAAATGTAATCACCACTCCAAAGATTCAAAATTTCACTTTTGTACTCGCTAAGAATCTTAAAATATTCAAAAGTGTTAAGATGAGCACGTCTTTCGACATATTAGATTATAAACTGAAAAATAATAGCTAGGAAAATTGAATATACATGTAGTACATAATATTTAAACTAGTCTAATTCATTTGTAAAAAAAAAAAAAAAAAAAAAAAAAATGTATGTGACTTACTGTAGAAGTACTTTTTTCCATGTGGTATTTATATACGCTATTTACACAGTCACAAATTTTCCATGGAAATTTCTCAGCTTACTTAAAGTACATTTAAAGCATATAGTGGCAATCTAAGAAATCTGCGTAATTTTTAACCGGCGGATTGAACAAAAATTCTGATTCCACAGAATTATGACCCCCCTGGAAAAAGGTATGTTTACAGTACGTAGTAATATAAAGTTGTATCACAATAGGCAGGCCAGAACTTTGACCACATTCCCAAAGAAGACCAACTGGCTCATGTAAAGATGATGTGTGGGACCTATCTAAACACACCCCCAGAACTGAGACTCCCAGAGAAAAGGATGGTGCCTCTTAAGGACATCCCAGAAACCTTTGATGCCCGAACTCAGTGGACCAACTGCCCAACACTGAAGGAGGTCAGGGACCAAGGAGCTTGTGGATCTTGTTGGGTAAGGTCTGGGAAAGGGGAGGAGGATAGATGGGATAGGTAGTGAAACTGAATTACTGGGAGGGATCTTAATGGCCTCTGCCAAAGTAGATGGAATGAGGATATCTTGTCAGTAGGTTTATCTGTCAATTAAACAGTTGTAACAGGTTTCTTAAGTCAGTGCTTGTCTTCAACATTGATGTTTTAAAAATATTTCAATCATCTTCCTCAATTTATGAGTATAGAGAACGTTATAACTTAATGTGATACTTATTTTATTTCAGGCTTTTGGTGCTGTTGAGGCCATGTCTGATCGTATCTGCATCAAGTCTCAGGGAAAAGCAAATGCTCACATCTCAGCAGAAGATCTAACAGCCTGCTGCAGGACCTGTGGAAATGGGTAGGTGGATCATGTACTGTAGTTGGAAATTGGTGGGTGGATCGTGTACTGTATTTGGAAATTGGTAGGTGGATCATGTACTGTTAGTTGTAAATTGGTGGGTGGATCATGTACTGTTAGTTGGAAATTGGTAGGTGAATCGTGTACTGTTAGTTGTAAATTGGTGGGTGGATCATGTACTGTAGTTGGAAATTGGTGGGTGGATCATGTACTGTAGTTGGAAATTGGTGGGTGGATCGTGTACTGTTAGTTGTAAATTGATGGGTGGATCATGTACTGTAGTTGGAAATTGGTGGGTGGATCATGTACTGTAGTTGGAAATTGGTGGGTGGATCGTGTACTGTTAGTTGTAAATTGGTGGGTGGATCATGTACTGTAGTTGGAAATTGGTGGGTGGATCGTGTACTGTTAGTTGTAAATTGGTGGGTGGATCATGTACTGTAGTTGGAAATTGGTGGGTGGATCATGTACTGTAGTTGGAAATTGGTAGGTGGATCGTGTACTGTTAGTTGTAAATTGATGGGTGGATCATGTACTGTTAGTTGTAAATTGGTGGGTGGATCATGTACTGTAGTTGGAAATTGGTGGGTGGATCGTGTACTGTTAGTTGGAAATTGGTGGGTGGATCATGTACTGTAGTTGGAAATTGGTGGGTGGATCGTGTACTGTAGTTGGAAATTGGTAGGTGGATCGTGTACTGTTAGTTGTAAATTGATGGGTGGATCGTGTACTGTTAGTTGTAAATTGGTGGGTGGATCATGTACTGTAGTTGGAAATTGGTGGGTGGATCGTGTACTGTTAGTTGGAAATTGGTGGGTGGATCATGTACTGTAGTTGGAAATTGGTAGGTGGATCGTGTACTGTTAGTTGGAAATGGGTTGGTGGATTGTGTACTGTAGATGGAAATTGGTAGGTGGATTGTGTACTGTAGTTGGAAATTGGTTGGTGGATTGTGTACTGTAGTTGAAAATTGGTACACGCCTACAGTGATCAAGTACTCATAATATCCAGGCCAACTTGTATATATCGAAAATTCAATGAACTGATTTGTTGACAAAATACATTTCTTGGCATGTAAATCATTGTTAAGGATGAAACACAAAATCCATGAACATTGGTCCCCCACAAATGATGATTCCAAAGTAGGTATGGAAATAACTTGATATGGAGTTTGATGCATTTTGTAGATTGGCAAGCTTTTAGTACATTATACAAATTCAGTAATAATAATGTGAGCAGCCTTAAATATTTAATTGTGATGAAAACATACAGTAATTTCCCATTGCATTAAAGATTTTGGTAATCTCTTTAAGGTATGTCACTCGTGAAATTTGTTATATCAAGGATTTTTTGAGAAGTATATTTTGGATAAGTACTCATATAGTATGACTCAAAATTGCTGAGAAAATGGGGGGTCAATGTGCATCTAAGTGAGCTACAGTACAATTAAGTTGACCTTTTTGCACTTAAATTTAACTCGTTGGTTAATCACTTTAATCGTTATCATATTAAAATTTTATCAGATGTAACCATGGCAATAAACATAATCTTATTTTACGTAAAATAGTTTGAATAATATTTATCATTGAACAAATCATGCAAATTAATGCGCCTAAATTATTGTGTGACCTTTTTGCACTAAAAAATCTCATATTTGGGGTATTAAAAATCTAAATAGACAATAGAATATTTTCATGTATCAAACTTTTTACGACTTAAGTGCTGATCGGTCAAAAGTATCGAGTAGTTTAAAATAATGAAAGAAAAATTACGGGTCAGTGATGTAAATTTTGTAATATTGGTCAAAATATGCGATTTTCTGGCCAAAAACTGTAAATTTTATCTCGACTTCTTTAATACATCTTCATTTTTTGGCAAAGTTTGTTGAGCGAAGGTGTAAATTTTGTTATAAAAACATAAATTGAGACCTATATTTAATATTCCAGGCATATCATAATGGAAAATGTTCCCTGAGTAAAAGTATGTGAGGCTAAAGTTCCAAGATATTAAATTCAATAAATGTGTAGATTTGCAGAATTTTCTGCTTAATATCCTTCCACCACAAGAAATAGTCCCTTACAAATCTCGCTTCTTTATGAATTTTTGAGCAGTTTTTTAATTGAATGTTGAACATTTTAGATTGTTTAATTGAAATATGTTATAAAGATTGAATTGTAATAAATAGTTTTTAAGTAAGAGGTTCTGACTGAACTTTTGTAAAAGGCTGACGAGTGACATACCTTAATGTCGTAATCTTTCTTTTAAATGTTTCTTTCAAATTTTCAGCTGTGAGGGGGGTTTCCCATCTGCTGCCTGGAGTTATTATGAAAGAGATGGTCTTGTAACCGGAGGGCAATACAACTCACACCAGGTAAACAAACAAACAAACAAAAAAAGAACAAAGGCTTAACAATTGGTTTGAAAAATGTCAGCCAAAATACGATCCAATTGTAGGGTATATTTGCTAACAAGGTCATTATAACAAACATAGAATTTATGAAATGCTGACTTTAAACAAGGTTGTTGAATTCCTTGTTACATCAACTTATCTGTCAGTAGCCTGCCTTGGTGTAAAAATTGGTCACACCCAATATGCTTTTGAGTATCAAATAAGTTGAGAGATTTAAAAACCCAGATGCAGATGATAGTGGAATATTACTACATACCACTCAGACAGCATCAAAGTCCTGATCATTTAATAAATACAGTCAAACTTGTCATAGCGGTCACCTTTATTCAGTAGTCACCTGTCCTATGCAGTCATTTTATTTCCTCCGAATAAATATTCCTATATAATGTAACTCTATTAAGCGGTCACCTGCATATTTATGTATCATATACAGAACCAAGAATTAGCACAAGGTTAGCATACACTCTAATATGTGTAACAGGAAAGGAGAAAATGTATGGCTGGGCCTGGAATTGAACCCGGGACCCCTGCATCACTAGTCAGGTGCTCTACTGACTGAGCTACCCAGGCCGATATCCAGGGCCCAAACCATTACATATGTCTCCTATATGCATGGACTACACTAACCCCAGGTTAACATAAGTACTCAGTGGTTTTAATGCTTTGTAGTACACAATACACAAGGACATTTTTGATATGCTATGCCTTTAATGATCTTTTACAAATATTAAGTGTATGTGTTTAGGAGGGGGGCATATTAATTTCTGCATGCATGGTTTCAGTATTTAGAGATGATGGTTCAATGAATATCACTTGTGATTGCATTATTTGTACCTACGTGTATTTGCACTTGCAAATTAAAATTTTATAATACTTGAGTATTTTACAATATGTCTTCATTTTGAAAATAAGCCTGACTATTATCATGTTACAGGGGTGCCTACCATACACAATCAAGGCATGTGATCACCATGTGGTAGGAAAACTCCAACCATGCTCCAAAAAGATTGGCCCCACCCCACGCTGCGAGAAGAAATGTGAAGCTGGCTACAATGTCACTTATGCTAAGGATAAGCACTATGGTAAGGAAGGGCTTGAGCAATTGATGAAAGAAGATTTAGAACTTCATATGATACTGTGCTGCTTTAAAAAGAATTAGCCCCTTGTGCCTCTATACTGAAAAAATTAACATTAATTTGTACAATAAAATATGCATATATAATAAAGTGCCAGGGAAGGCCAATTTTGCTTCATTATAATTAAACGTACATGTAATTCATTATATCTGTTAAGTTCACAATATAATTTAAAGCCACGGGGAATGAAAATCAATTTGCTGTAATCTTCAATTCATTGTAACTGTGTTTGCTATAAGCATGTTTTACTGTATATCAGTCTTAATGCATATATTTTTTGTATTTGAAAACCAAATACTTGCATGTGTAGATGTGTCTGAACAATAAAATTATTGCATTTGTTTGTTTTGTAGGAATGTCTGCTTACAGCGTACGTGGTGTGGAGAAAATTCAGACAGAGATCATGACTAATGGCCCAGTAGAGGGCGCTTTCACAGTCTACTCTGATTTCCCACAATACAAATCTGGTGTGTTTAATTGTATAATTGTGCTTGTATCCTTGGCACTTTTAAAATCATACATGTTGATTTGAAATGATGTGAAGTCAAATATAAATCAAAGTACAGGTATTTTTTCTATATTTGTGGCATACCTGTTTATTTTGGTGTTTTATTAATTTCTGTTTTATCTTGTAGGTGTTTATAAGCACACAACTGGAAAACCCCTTGGTGGACACGCCATTAAGATTCTGGGGTGGGGAACTGAGAACGGAGATGATTATTGGCTGGTGGCCAACTCTTGGAATCCTGACTGGGGAGATCAAGGTAAGGTCATATATATGTGAAATAGGTCAAGGTCACTCACACTAACTCCTGCAACCCTGACTGAGGTGATCAAGGTAGGGTCATAAATATGTGAAAGGTCAAGGTCACTGACATTAACTCATGCAACCCTGACTGGGGGATCAAGGTAGGGTCATAAATATGTGAAATAGGTCAAGGTCACTGACTCTAACTCCTGCAACCCTGACTGGGGTGATCAAGGTAGGGTGAGAAATATGTGAAATAGGTCAAGGTCACTGACACTAACTCCTACAACCCTGACTGGATGATCATGGTAGGGTCATAAATATGTGAAATAATTCACTCTGATAATGTTTAAGGAGGTTGGCTCTTGCTATCAGAAGTCTTAAGATCTTTTGTTAAAGTATATTTTTTGGTATCTAAAAGATTTTTATTTTTTTTAAAAATTCAAAAAATGGGAGTCAGTATGCTTCTTTTAGTGCTATGGTGCATTTTATATGACCTTTGTGCACTGTAGTTGTGTCTTACACATAAATAACTTTTTCCTTCAATAATCTTTATCTTAAAAAAAATCATGGGACCAAATGCAATCTAATTCTATCCTGTCAATGAATAGAAACATTTAAAATTGTGACAAAGAAAAAGTTTCAAATTACATGTACTTTGCATAATCTTTAACAAGCAATAAAATTATTTTAAAGTCTTAAGCTTTTATTGAATTTAATAAAGCAGAATAGTCAAAGTTATCTTATATATTCAGAAAAGAAAATCAAAAGAACAGAGTGTCTATGATGTATATTTTTTGGTATTTGTTAATTTTAAGCTAAAATTGGGGCTATTTTTTCTGGTCTTTCACAATATACATGTATTTGCTACATTTGTCAGATATATTGAAAGCATTCATAATAGTTATTAATAATTTAATGTATAATTTGGGACCAGCGTAAAACATTTCACTGCACAAAATAAATGTGTTTAGCTTGCATGGAAAAATAGAAATCTAAACTGAACACGTTATGTTAATACTTCAAATGAGAAAAATCTGTCATTTACTTCTAAAAAAAAAAGTTTGCCACAAAATGTTAATTGCTTTATAAAACAAATTATAGTAATATAGAGTGAAAATTAAATGTAGGTTTTCTGTTTTTAGGATTTTTCAAGATCCTGCGAGGCCGAGATGAGTGTGGAATTGAGTCCCAGATTAGTGCAGGAGAACCCAAACTACAATAAACTCGAGCCTACGGACTCATTGTTACATTCCATTACTCACAAACATGAGATTACCAAGTTGTTTAACTCACATTGTGAAAAATAATTGAAGTGATACTTTGAAAATGGTGCTCAATAATTTTATTTTCAAGCAGTGTTGTTCTTTATATACATCTTTGTACAAATGAGATTTGATACTTTAATACACACAAGTTTTCAAAAAATAAATTTATTAAAAAGATTGATACATGTATGTGTTGTTACTAATTTTGGAAACCAAAGATACCGTCATGTGAATACATGTACATGTATAAGATGTACTGGTTTCAGTTTCTTTAATTAAGGGGATGAACAAAGATTTGAAGTTTAACCTTCAAAATTTTGGTAGAATTTCATGACTTACATATTGCAAGGGCTTGTAGATAATTATATGATGAAAATCTATTTAGAAACTTCTGCGCCTCGGTTGACAATGGTTTTCTTGGGGTGAAAATTTTCAATGTTACACTCAACAACATGCAATCTTTATATAATAGTAATAACAAACGCAGGTATTTTGTACAAGGTTATGAAGAATGCCGTTGTCATTGAATACTAATAATTTCCATGCACTTCAAATCATTTAAGTGACAATGTGTGTTCATGCTCATCTGTTAGAATGTTTTTAATCAACCTGTCTCTCAGTGTGGGACTAATTAATCTTCAGGAATTTGACAGGGACAATAAAAAATCATGAAAATTTTTCAAAGAGAACCTTTTCTGTATTGGAAAGAAACTTGCCACAAATATAGGCCGCTAAAAATTTAGCTTTTATCTGAACTTTGAAATGTAAAGCATTCTCAAGTTTCTCTATGGAATTCTCTGTGGAATCATCTTAATCTGTAGGGGGTCAATGTTCATGGTCAAGCAAAATTTTACTTGTTCGTGGGGACAGAATTTCGTGGGTTACTTGTTTATACAGTAGATTCAACAAACCTAAGGAGTTGGAATCCTTGATACTCAAACTTGATCTACTACTCTACTTCAATAATAAAATTCTTATCCCCCCCCCCCCCCAAAATAAAAGAAATGAAACCTCATGAAACTGAAATTTGACCTACAATGTACACAACCACAAGCAATAATATATCAAATCATTCAAAAATCTCAAAGTTTCATCCAAATAAACTTCAGAAACAGACTGTTATCAATTTTGAAATGGTAAAGGGCCACAACTCCAATCAAGGCAACTGAAAGTTGAAATTCAATGAGTCTCAAAACCAGATAACTACATGTATATAAAGACATATTAGTTGTCATAATACCAAATCAATCCTTATCCAACATCTCAAAGTTAAATTCTAAAAAGAAAATAGTTTGGAAAAATCTCCAGTCATAAAGGACCATAACCCTGGTTTCAAGGGTTAATACATGTATTTGATGAATTTGTTTTTATTCTCACTTATCTGCAACTCTTGTATGCAAGCATGTATTAAATTGCAATCCATTATCTCAAAATTAAACCCTCAAAAATTTCTTAAAATCAAATCAAAGAAGTGGACAGGTAAGTGAAATTAGTATGGGACTTATGACCTGTTAGATAAGAATTTGCCAGTGACCTCGCTTGACATATTACTATATCCTTGAAATCATAATCTAATTGCACTAGGCGTATTTTATTGATAACATATTTATACTAATACTACTGAATATCATCTCAATAAGCCTAAAGCTCTAACAGCTGACTATACAACAGTTTCCATATAGCCATAAATGGCAATGTTATTTACATGTACTGTTATTTCAACAATTTTCCTGGGAATCAGGTTTCATGGTTTTGACAGAAAATACAATTTTGTTGATACATATGTTAATTCTTAGACAGCTACCTTGTCCTATTCAACGATAGTCAAATTTGTAAATTGTTAGTCACCTTATGTCAACCACAAGAAAGTGAAAATTGATGTTCAGCAACAAAATCAGTGTAATTAGTGTTAATTTAAGGATATCCGATCCTCAGCCAGGAAGGATAACTCTTTAATTTATTATTTAATTCCAAAATTCTCAAAATGAAGCTTAAATATGAAATCTTTTCAAGCAACAATTTTCATTTTATGCATCTCAATGTGATTCAAGGTTCTTTGAAGTTTTAGAAACAGTCTTTTAAAACGTTGATAAATTTACCCTATAGAGATATGTTAAAATACAGATTTAAAGAAATCGACTTTTCTTTTAATTTAGCCTTAGATACCAATGCTAATTAGCATACTATGAAATTAGGAATGATTTATGGTGTTTTGCAGTGATAGGAAACATTTTATAAACTATGCATTATAAAATAATTGAAGTACATAGAAGCAATTAAATCACTGTATAAAAATCAGGCAATTTTCTTCAAATGCCTGGATACCTTTAGTTTTTTAGCCTAAAATGTTTTTGTTGATCAATTTCCAATTAGAAAATGCATAGTAGGTGTCTTTATTCGCATTTCCTGAAAATTTATACAAAATTTACTCATTTTTCCTGTAATATTTTTCCTATATAATATGATTAACTTTAATGATGAAGTTTGAACAATTACCGTGGGTAAATTTACATTACTTGGAGAATTCAGGGACATTTATGAGAGCATTTTCAATTATTCAATGCCTGATTTTCAGAACCTGAGGATTGGACTACCTTAAAAGGTTTATAAAAGTGGAAACTTTGATCATGAATATTATTTTCAATTGTTCATTCCCAAATAAAAAATGTCAAGCATTATGGTTTACAATGACAAGATCTGTGTAACTTCTTTTTATTTAGGTCTTTTTTGCAGATATGAAAACACCCACCTAAAAAAAAGACACAAAATCTGGTATACCATATGACTTTTCTGCGTCACAGGATCATCTATTCTAAATGATAACCCTGCATCTAAACTTGATAAACTTTACGTAGAGTAACCATGACCCAAATTAACAGATATCTATGTACATCTGTATTTATGTCATTAATGTGAGGAACATGAAGCAAAACATCACATTTATTAAATTTATTTTAAAAACTGTCTTTGACAGATCATTTCACAGATTCAAAATCATACACTAATTGCTGCTATGTGAACGTCAGGATGAAGATAATGAGGGGTATATATTTATATAATATTATGTAACAACCTGTATTCATATTTCAAGTATTCTTTGCTATTATGTATTTCTTAAAATCTGTGTTTTAAAGAGGTTCTCTAAAATTTAAATATTGTCAGAGTATAAGAGTGTAATGTTATATAAATTACTACAGAACAGATGTTTTGTGTAGTGTAAATGGTCTTCAACAGATTTACAAATTACATATACAGTACAGGTAAAAACCGGTAATAGTTATCTTATCAAATGTTGTCACATTTTTAAAAATATCTACAATGTAAAGGGAGATAATCATATATTGTTCTTTTTTTAACAAGCATTTTGCATTAATTTCAGAGGGCTCTGATATCCAAGATTCAACAGAAGATACAAAATTATTCATATCAAAAATTTCTAAGACAGATTTTTGAAAATTTTATAAGATACATGATTCAGATTTCAATGAACTTACCAATTGCAAATTTTGCAATTGATCACCTTTGCTGTGACTGATTTACACTGTATCAGTCAGCAAGTAAAAAATTACAATCCCTCATGCAAACATCTTCATTTAAAGATGAAAAGGCAAAAAGGCAATTCAACAATTAACAAAAAGTAAAATTATAACACCTATAAAATATGTAATAAAGCATTTACTATGTTGAAAGGTAAAATATTAATAATCAAGAAAACAAATTCATACAAAGAATGCAATAAGACCAAAACAACAAAATTTCAGCACCGTTACACATACAATTACATATCATGTATTTGATTTAAATTACAGATAATCCTGATGTTTTAGCTGATTCAACAGGGACCATAGTAATTATTAATAATAATTGACCTTTCCCCTTTTCACCTCCCATTACTCTATAAACAAATAAATACACATGTACATCATGACAGTATTTTCCCCACCCCCCAATATCTGAGAGCTCTATCACTACCCTAGTTTTAATTTGTCCATTTTGTCCTCATCAGCATTCCTCAGTTCCTCTTCCACATCCTCGTCATCCTCTTCCTCCTCCTCTGAATACTGGCCTCCTGCCTCGTCCTCTTTGTCTTGTAGAGATTTCTCATAAAAATACTCAAACGGATCGTTCCTGTCCTCTAACATCTCCTCCTGCTCCTCCCCAGCTTCCTCTAACCGGTCCTGCTGGGACTTCTCAAAGTAGTAATCAAACGCATACTCCTTCATAGAAATCTGATGTGCCAGTAACTCGGCACTTCTCTCCTTGTCATATCTCTGGACCTGGGCGGCAAACTCGGCACCTTTTCCTTTGATATTAAGTCTTGTGATTTGATTAAACAGTTTCTCTGGTTCTTTAACACCATGCACTCCTGCCTTTTTGAAGAACTGAAAGAAATAAATGGTAATGCTAAGAAATAATTGCCTTTTACCTCAAAGTTATGACAGAGATAATCATGATTATATTGCCTTAGTCCAGTGCTGATATGAGTTATATTGATGATTGCATCATGAAATGGGAAAAAGGATAAATGATATGCACTTTAAAAACTAATCCTTTTATAACTTTTCACACTTTGATTGAACTCATTAGTTACATGTATTGAATTTATACCTAAATATTGAAAGATTGTAATTGGCAAATCTATAAGTACTACAAGAATGCTCAGAAATTCTGGGATCAATACAGCTATATATACCTTGCACACATTTGTGCAGTCACGGAACAAAAATTCCATGGCCTTGGGGTGGGTGAGTTCTACAGCTTGGCTGACATCTATGACCCACACTTTATCTTGGTACCAGAGTAGATTGTACTCACTCAAGTCGCCATGAACCAAGGCACATTTATTCTGCATTGTATCCATTATCTAAAGATAGAACACAGATTGATAGGAAAAAAACTGATACTGTAAAAACTTTCACATGTATATTGACACTTTCATCGACAGTGACACTATAATTATGAAGGGTACAGGTCAACCATCAATAGAAAATTGTTATGGTAACTAATATAATTACATATGTAAAGTATAACTGTACAGCCCTCCTTATTCATGGGTTTTGTAGAGCTACATTTATAAAATGATAAAATTTTATGATTAACAATCTAATTTTTAAGATTTTACAAGAGTCAATCCTAATATGCTATCCACCTACATGAATGTTACCTGTGGAAGAAGCTCACCTTTATAACCTGTTCATAAGCATCCTCATAATCTTCCACAGAAAGCTGTGCATCCTTTAGTTTGGGGGCGGGGCATTGGTCCTCTCCTATAAAACTCATCACTAAGATGTGCTTGTTCAGGACTTGTACAGCAGGGCAAGGAATTCCAAATTTCTTCATTCTATAAATGAGGAAGGTTTCAATAAGTATATAGAGATACATGTATATATATACAGCACAGAATTTTTAGTACATAGTTAAGTAATATGCTAAATCACACACTTTTTTGTTTATTTTACCAGACTCTAATACAGTAAACCAACTATTAATTGTGATAACTTTTTCTTGTGACTTTTCAGTGTGATTTCTATCTGCGATTAGTAATTTCTTTGACCAAGGATTCATTTTACATAAATACACAATGAAATAAATAATTCATGGCGAAATATATTTGTGAGAAGAAGAAGGTCGCAAAACTGAAGGATATTTCCCGCATATGATTAAAAGTTGGTTTCCAGTAATTGGACTATTACTGCTTACCTATTGAGGTTAGCTGTTTCTTTTTCCCCCCAGATTCGAATGACTTTTCTTGGGTTGTTTTTCTTAAAGTCGTCCCTTGAAAACCTGTGATCCCCATCGACATACGCTCCCCTGTTCTTAAATTCGTTTAATGTTGTCTTGTAGATCTTGACTGCACACTCAGTTGACAGCAAAACCCCCTCTTTGCTAATAATAGTAACAAGGAATTATAAGCACATTTATTTATTAAGTTTTTGAGTTAGTTCATTACAATATAACAGAATCAGACAGAGACTTTATTGTTCAGACAATGTCAGAATAAAAATCAACTATAAAACAATTATGGAGAGGATTCTGGAGCTCCAATGTCTTTATGATACTTCGTATGACAAAGCAATAAACTACAAGATATCCTATCTCGGACTCCTTTCTATACTCAGACATTATAACCAGCATTACCTCCCCCCATAGGCGTGATACACCACAGACTCCTTCCCCGAGCTGATGCTTCCCCCTACTGACTCCAGGGTCCCGTTATTCACCATCTTATACAGCAGGAGTTTGGTGCGGGGATCTAACACTTGTTCCTGTTAATAAAGTCAAGTCCATTTCTCAATCTAATCAGTACATAATACATTTATAACATTTCAAGGAACTTTCTTCCCAATTTCTAAGTTCAAGATTTCATTTTATCAGATTTATTGATATATGTGTTTGTTTTAAATTTGCATTGGTACTGTACACATCAAAAATAAAATAAAAAATTCGAAGTCATACAAAATTCTGACAGCTCAAACATTGATCTTTGACAGAGAAATATTACAGTTTATTATGACTTACGGATGTAGAAAATTCCTTTTTCTCATGCAGTCTCTGACTTCTCTTGTTTTCCGCCAGTGAGTGCAGCTTTAGTTTGTTGTATACTTTATTCGGTAGCTTCATGTCAATCCCTTCTCCATCACCCGAGTGAAATTCTGGTGGAAGCTAAAAAAGAGAGCACAGATTCATTGGTTTTTACCTCATCTAGCATATACATCTATACTATCAAAAGCTGGATTTTTGGGGCTTGTTTATTTGCTTGTGAGGAGGGGGTCCTTTCTCATATAAATGTGATGGGTACTTATTTAGCTTGACTCACAAACTTTGATCTAGGATCTACTTACATCCATTAATCTAGATGCATTTCTCCTACCACAAATCTCTGCATCATGTTTGGTAGTTATATTCTTGCCTTTGCCAAATACTCCAGATTTGTTGAACTTAGGACTTGGACTATCTGAATATGATATTTTAAATTTTAATTAGACAAGAATGTTTCCTTCAACATGTACATGTACTACATAGCACATTCACTGATACTGTTTACAAATACACTTGCCAGGACTGCCAAGATATGCAGTGCTGACATTTTATAAATAGAGAAGTGCTTCAATTAGGAAATTAAAAATATCATAAATTTCAAAACACAATTTCCTTACTATTTAATTAGTGATAAAAAGAGGCAGGCAATTAAATATTTTTTCAAATGGAAATATTTTGCAAAATACTGATATATTAATCTTTAACTTTGCTACATCATTAAAATTTCAGGAAAAAGTTGTGAAATACCCCATTCACTTTTCCTGTTCTCGATTTCATCTGGATCTATTTCATCTTCTTCTTCCTCATCTCTGTATGCTGGATGTACCACTCTGTAGTTCTCAAAAGAAATTGACACTGAAAATATAAAAACATCATCAAAACCACACGTATTTTAAACATAAGATAAAGAACAGAATGCACTTTCCTTAAATAAAAATGTTGAAAAAATACATCACTGGTAATTCCATAAACTATCTAGATTTTACAATACAAACAATTTTGACACATAGGTAAAGGACTTTTAAAAAAACAAATTCCAATATGCACCTTTATTATTTCCATTGAACTTTCTTTCCTCTATTTTGAGTGCCTGGTCATGCTCTCGGTCGTACTCCTGTTGTAGCATCTGAGCCAGTAAATAGTCATCTGTTGTTTCTGGGTCCTCACTGGCTGCTGCTAAGATCTCCTGGAAGGTCCTTGTCTCGTCAACTTTCACACTGTAAAAGATGGCTTCCTTGTTTTTATGATTAATTCACTAACAGTGTTTACGCATTGTGTGTTATTTATTCTGAATCAAGTGGAAAATTTCTTTTTCTGTTAATATTATAAAAATATCATTACATTTGATTTTGTGAGTTTTTCTGAAAGCTATTCCTTTTAGAATAAAGCTCTCTGAACAATTTCACAACCATATTGGGTTTATCACGAACAATTAAGAGTTCATCCCATGCTGTTCCTTCTTTTGGTATAAACTGATTATGTCTCACTTGAGAAGAAGCTTACTTTGTTGTATAGAACATTCTATTGTTAAAATGATAATTGTTGTACAGACCTCTTTAACCATAGAATTCAATCTATGTGTTGGCAATTAAACAGGGGCAAATAATTCTTATCTACATGTATACTAAGAACAATTCAGAGAGTTTTAAATGTCAACATGGAAAATAAATTTGAAGCATTGCTGACCTTGAGCAAGTAAAAAAAAAGTTAGAAAATCCATCAAAGATCGGGACATACTACACAAAAGGACCTGGACCAACTGGAAAAGTGGGCATTGGACTAGGGAATGAGATTCAATGCAAAGAAATGTTATATATGAAGTCTACGGAAAAAAATTAATAGCCAGTACACCCTTGAAAACCACACTCTAGAACAAGTGGCATCAAATCCTTACTTAGGATTACAAATATCCGAAGACCTTAAATGGAAAGAGCACATAAATAACATCTCAAATAAAGCCAGTGCCACCTTAGGCTTCCTAAGAATGAATTTACAACACTGTCCAAGAGAATGTAGGAAAATGGCATACATCACACTCGTAAGATCTATAATGGAGTAAGGAGCTATCATCTGGGACCCTTACACCAAACAGGAAATATCTAAATTAGAATGTATATAAAGAAGGGATGCAAGATTCATAATGAAAGATTATAAATCAAGGGAAGAGGGTACAATGTCTAAGATGCTTAAAGAACTTGACCTTCCCTTATTACAAACCAGATGCCAACATCAAAGGCTGATCTTTTTCTACAAAGTGGTTGAGGGGTAGATACCAGCTATAGCACCTGACCAATTCATTAAACCCCCAAAACAAAAAAGAAACATCAAACCTAAAGTTTTTGAAGATTATGAAACAACAAATATAATAGATAGTAGAGTAAGGAATAATAGCAAAGCAGTGGAAATACCAAACGCAAAAACAGACCAATACAAGAACTCATTCTTTGTCAAATTGTGCGCACTGCAATAGCCTGGAACCACCTGGAAGAAGAAGTTGTCCGCACCCCAAAGCCAGAAAGCCAAGTCTGCGCTACAACAACGTCGCTACTAAGTGTGCCCTCCCCCGTCACATTAAAGCCCCAAAGGGATTCTGTGATGTACAGATACAGATACAGACACAGAAAATATGTTGCATTTTTCCTTTATATGAATTAATTTTTGTTTGTTATGATTAACTGGATGGTTATTTTCAATGAATGTTCTATCATGATAAATGTCCGACAGACCCATTTTAATGATAGAATGTGTTCCATGTATTGGCAATGTAGCAAAGCAAACATGGGTGACAACTCTTAGTGCATTTACTATGACGAAAAATGACGAAAAATCCATAGAGTTCCAAATGTCAACATGGCATGTAAATTTGAAGCAAGTAAAAAAGTTGAGAAAAAGTGTTGAATTCTTCCATTATATGGATTAAATTTTTGGTTGAAATGTATCCAAAGTCTCAAAAAGGTATGTTATGATTACCTGGATAGTTATTTTCAATACAACAGTTAATTAGATTATTCTAACTAGAGGCAAATTTGCAAGTAAGGTCAGGACTAGTAAAAAAAAAAAAGGGAAGTAACCAGCGGTCTAGTACTCATAAAAGTGCAGCATTTTGCTTCGTACCTGTTTTCTTCCTCCTTCTGCTGAAGATCAAGTGCAAGCTGTTCACTCATTACGTCTTGTAGTGAACATGGCATAACAGGTGCTGCCTGTATCTTACCCCACGGCGTAGTCATACTTGTGCTGGATACTGTATTTATTATATCTCCTATAGAAATGTGTGGTCTTTGAAATTCACAACTTTCCATTTGATAAATATGCTAAATATTGAACCGAAATAATGAATCTTTTCGACGTCTTTTACTTGTAATATTTGAATAACGTTTTACTTTTTAGATTACAGTATATATAAGCAATTTCAAAACGAAAATAAATTTAGATGTCACGAGCTAAAATTATAATTTATGTGTTACTACCTTGTTGTGCAATATCCAACTCAAAAACCGGAAATAACCGTATTGACAGGTTTTTGTTAATTTGTACACGTTTTTTTCCTTCATTTTACCATTCGAATTATTCTATGTACGAAGTATTTGAAAGTTACACGCGGGAAATGTCAAATTCCCATCAGGCGATACTTCTAAAACGTTAGACCCGTTCTTTCTCTTCAATGCGGGGATGAATTGTATTGATATTTAAAATTTTAGTTGAGAAGAGGAGATCACTTATTATTATTTAGTCTGAATATGGACAACGTGTCCTATGATGGTGATAAAACGTTGTGCGAAAACATCAAGGACACGATGGGTATATGCTTCAATATATCTACACCCCAGGATGATAAATATTTAATTTGTAACAAACTTCACAGACTTCACAAGAAACGTCAATTGTCTTAACTTCCATTTATAATGCTTATGATATGTTAAGAATTCATAGTGTACAGATGCAGGGCGTTTTCAGCTTAGTTTGAATTTGTTTACTAAATAATAAGATACACAGTCGGCAATTTTGAGAACTTGCCAGTCTGGTACAATCACTAGATTTAGCTAGTAGCTTGAATTACTTAAGTAGCTTTATTTACCTACCTGAAGTAGCTTTATTTAGCTACTAAATGAAACATTTCTTAGATTAGCATTTCCCCCCAGAAAGTGCAGAAAATTGCACTTTGATGTCTTTTCTGTGCAATTGCAGTCAAAGTACTAAAAGTTTAGGGGCTATATACAACAGTTAATTTGTGACCTAACAGTTACTTCTTGAGTGAGACCAGTTATGGTTAACATGAGCACAAGTAATCATACTTATCCATGCCTCATCGCACACAAGGTGGTGCACAGTTACTCAAACAATGGAAATTCATCTTTTCCTTAAAAGTGTTCAAATGCAGCAATGTTAAAAGTATCTCTGCTTTAGATTGATTTTTAAATAATACCTAGAATAAATATAAGTAGACATTTACTTGCGAATTTTTGAAAATTTGCCTTGAAATAGCTATATAAATAAAGCTACCGGTACCTGAGGTAGGTAAATAAAGCTACGGTAGATAATTTTAGCTACATAGCTAAATGTACTGATTGTACTGGACCTGCTTGCTTGTTATTAGGGTCCTGCTCTGCGGATGCCCAGTTGTGATCTGTCTGTCTGGCCGGCCGTCTATATCCATCCCATATTACTTATTCTTTGGCCCAATCTTGCTCGTACTTCACCCACAGAATGCCCCTGGGTAAAGGGTGTGCAGTGACCTTGAACCAATTTTAGCCCACCTGAGCCTTCAATTGAGCTTTTCTGATTGAAATTTGTCTGTTGTCTGTCGTCGTTCTTGTCATCATCATAAACTTTTCACAATTTCGTCTTCTCAAGAACCACTAGGCCAATTTTAACCAAACTTGGCACAGAGTATCCTTGGATGAAGAGGATTCAAGTTTGTTCAAATGAAAGGCCACGCCCTAAACCAAGGGGAGATAGTTACAAAAAAAAGTGAAAAATTAATGGCATCTTTTAAAAATCTTCTCAAGAACCAATGGGCCAGGAAAGATGAAACTCATGTGGAATCATCTTCAGGTAGTGTAGATTCAAGTTTGTTGAAATCATGACCCCTGGGGTAAGGCCAAAATAAAATTATTGTTTGTTTGGAATTGCCTCCCGCCTCATTGAAATGACCCCTCCTGGAAAAATTTTATTGACCAAAAATAAGAAGATTTTTTTTATTCAATCAATTCTTGGCCTGTAACCATATGTGCCACCCAATCACTTAATAAGTGTAGGATCTAAGCAAAACTGGGTTCCTGGTTGATGGAAGATACCCTTCACAAAAAGGCAGAAAATAATGTGTTCATCCCTTATTGAGATTTTTATCATTAATTTTTGAATTAACTTTAATTTTGAAAAAAAAAATTCCCTCCCTCCCTCATGGGTCTGAAACCTCCAAGGCGGCAATTCCAAACAAATAATTTTTTAAGGATGGCCTAGGATGGGGCCACAATGGACGATCGAAGTTTTACATAGGAGTATAGGAAAAACTTTTTCTCAAGAATAGCAAAGCCATGATTGGTCATGTTTATATAAAAACATCCTCAGATAATGTCATATATCATCATAGATCATAATGTCATATATCATCATGTAAATGAGTAACCCATAAAATTACGTCCCCTACGAACAAGTAAAATTTTGCTTGCCCATGAACATAGACCCCCTCAAATTAAATGATTCCACAGTAATTGATGAACAAGAATTAAAATTTGCATTATTTTTGTGTTTTTGCCCATGAGTAGAAAAAAAGTTACAGAAGGAAGTGAAACGCATTCTAAAGACATTCTCACTCACAGGATATAGAAAAATTGTTGATACTATTTTATTTTGTAGCCTTGTTATAATGTTTTTGGTTGAGACAATCTCAAACAATATTCTAATGAGATTTTGGTATTGATGCGGGGATTTATCAGTACCTACTCAGGGGCTGTAATTCGTCCTCATTCCCAATTGAAAATGAGTTCAATTTTTCCCAATTTGGCAGTATTTTTCCCAATTGGTGAACAATGCTTTTATTTTTAATTATATTGGTCAGATGATCCAAAATTTCAAAATGCAGTACTATTTGATCCATTATATACTGAATCATTGTTAAGTGCTAGTATTAAGAACTCTGATGTTTTTTTCTAGGATGCAGGGAAGAAGATACAGATAAGGACCACATGGCAAGGTTTAATGAGAGAAATCCAGAGAATTACATGAGTGCAGTAGAATGTCTACGATTGAGAAGCAGTTTGGTGGAAATTTTGGAGGAACTGAAATTAAGGAGGGCAAGACTTGAATTCATTTATTGTTTACAGGCTAATTTAATTTTCTCTATTTCTTATTAACGTACTGTAAATGTGTTGATAGTAACAAGTCTTGTCTGTAACAGGAAAGAAGAAAAAGTATGGCTGGACCGGGAATCTAACCCGGGACCCCTGCATCACTAGTCAGGTGCTCTACTGACTGAGCTACCCAGGTCGATATCCATGGCCCGAACCATTACATTCAAATAATGGTTCTCGCTTTGGAAAGTTTACAAGTGAAAACTTTATGTTGAATAAAAATTTTATAACCAGAGCATATATATGTACTAGATTCTTAATTGAACCCTGATGTTTACACTCACCATTGCGTAGGCTCCTTCAATCTTTGCAAGAAAGGCATATATAATTTGTAAGTCATCTGTGCATTGAAATCATTTTGTGTTGCTTTGCCCTTTTGTTGTTGTCATATATATGTCAAGATGTTTTTTCCTTTATCGTTATTTCTTACTTTGGTATCTTTTTCTCTCACATCTTGAAGAAATATGACAACAATTAAGGAAGTGATTTTATATAGGTCTCTGACTAGGACCTCACTGAAATTGTTTTATTTTATTGCTTTCAACAGATGAATGACAAAGATAATGAGGAGAGAATAAAAAGGGCTGATCAAGAAAAATATCAACTAATCAGAAAATGTGTAAGTTCACCAGATTTGATATGAAAAAATATTTTTTAAAAAAATTTACTCTATTTTGCGTCATATGAATTTCACATAAAGAGTTGTTTCCCTTAGCTTGTAATTGACAATCATTTCAGGAGTCAGAATCACAGAAGTTAAATGAGGCAACCAAGCAATACAGGAAGCACTTACAGGATAAAGATAGGATGTGTGAAGAGAAGTTGTCCAGGATGGAAGAACAATTGGTCTGATATAGATTGTCACCCTGTAATAACTATATCTGATATAGAATGACACCCTATAATAACTATATCTGATATAGAATGTCACCCTGTAATAACTATATCTGATATAGAATGACACCCTGTAATAACTATATCTGATATAGATTGTCACCCTGTAATAACTATATCTGATAAAGAATGTCACCCTATAATAACTATATCTGATATAGAATGTCACCCTGTAATAACTATATCTGATAAAGAATGACACCCTATAATAACTATATCTGATATAGAATGTCACCCTATAATAACTATATCTGATATAGATTGTCACCCTGTAATAACTATATCTGATATAGAATGACACCCTATAATAACTATATCTGATATAGAATGTCACCCTATAATAACTATATCTGATATAGAATGACACCCTATAATAACTATATCTGATATAGAATGTCACCCTATAATAACTATATCTGATATAGAATGTCACCCTGTAATAACTATATCTGATATAGAATGTCACCCTGTAATAACTATATCTGATATAGATTGTCACCCTATAATAACTATATCTGATATAGAATGACACCCTGTAATAACTATATCTGATATAGAATGTCACCCTGTAATAACTATATCTGATATAGAATGTCACCCTGTAATAACTATATCTGATATAGAATGTCACCCTATAATAACTATATCTGATATAGAATGTCACCCTGTAATAACTATATCTGATATAGAATGACACCCTATAATAACTATATCTGATATAGATTGTCACCCTGTAATAACTATATCTGATATAGAATGACACCCTATAATAACTATATCTGATATAGAATGACACCCTATAATAACTATATCTGATATAGAATGACACCCTATAATAACTATATCTGATATAGATTGACACCCTATAATAACTATATCTGATATAGAATGTCACCCTATAATAACTATATCTGATATAGATTGACACCCTATAATAACTATATCTGATATAGAATGACACCCTATAATAACTATATCTGATATAGAATGACACCCTATAATAACTATATCTGATATAGATTGTCACCCTGTAATAACTATATCTGATATAGAATGTCACCCTATAATAACTATATCTGATAAAGAATGACACCCTATAATAACTATATCTGATATAGAATGTCACCCTATAATAACTATATCTGATATAGATTGTCACCCTGTAATAACTATCTCTGATATAGAATGTCACCCTATAATAACTATATCTGATATAGAATGACACCCTGTAATAACTATATCTGATATAGAATGACACCCTATAATAACTATATCTGATATAGATTGTCACCCTGTAATAACTATATCTGATATAGAATGACACCCTGTAATAACTATATCTGATAAAGAATGTCACCCTATAATAACTATATCTGATATAGATTGTCACCCTGTAATAACTATATCTGATATAGAATGACACCCTATAATAACTATATCTGATATAGATTGTCACCCTGTAATAACTATCTCTGATATAGAATGTCACCCTATAATAACTATATCTGATAAAGAATGACACCCTATAATAACTATATCTGATATAGAATGTCACCCTATAATAACTATATCTGATATAGATTGTCACCCTGTAATAACTATATCTGATATAGAATGTCACCCTATAATAACTATATCTGATAAAGAATGACACCCTATAATAACTATATCTGATATAGAATGTCACCCTATAATATCTATATCTGATATAGATTGTCACCCTGTAATAACTATATCTGATATAGAATGTCACCCTATAATAACTATATCTGATATAGAATGACACCCTGTAATAACTATATCTGATATAGAATGACACCCTATAATAACTATATCTGATATAGATTGTCACCCTATAATAACTATATCTGATATAGAATGACACCCTGTAATAACTATATCTGATATAGAATGACACCCTATAATAACTATATCTGATATAGAATGTCACCCTATAATAACTATATCTGATATAGATTGTCACCCTGTAATAACTATATCTGATATAGAATGACACCCTGTAATAACTATATCTGATATAGAATGACACCCTGTAATAACTATATCTGATATAGAATGACACCCTGTAATAACTATCTCTGATATAGAATGACACCCTATAATAACTATATCTGATATAGAATGACACCCTGTAATAACTATCTCTGATATAGAATGACACCCTATAATAACTATATCTGATATAGATTGTCACCCTGTAATAACTATATCTGATATAGAATGACACCCTGTAATAACTATATCTGATATAGAATGTCACCCTGTAATAACTATATCTGATATAGAATGTCACCCTGTAATAACTATATCTGATATAGAATGTCACCCTATAATAACTATATCTGATATAGAATGTCACCCTGTAATAACTATATCTGATATAGAATGACACCCTATAATAACTATATCTGATATAGATTGTCACCCTGTAATAACTATATCTGATATAGAATGACACCCTATAATAACTATATCTGATATAGAATGACACCCTATAATAACTATATCTGATATAGAATGACACCCTATAATAACTATATCTGATATAGATTGACACCCTATAATAACTATATCTGATATAGAATGTCACCCTATAATAACTATATCTGATATAGATTGACACCCTATAATAACTATATCTGATATAGAATGACACCCTATAATAACTATATCTGATATAGAATGACACCCTATAATAACTATATCTGATATAGAATGACACCCTATAATAACTATATCTGATATAGATTGTCACCCTGTAATAACTATATCTGATATAGAATGTCACCCTATAATAACTATATCTGATAAAGAATGACACCCTATAATAACTATATCTGATATAGAATGTCACCCTATAATAACTATATCTGATATAGATTGTCACCCTGTAATAACTATCTCTGATATAGAATGTCACCCTATAATAACTATATCTGATATAGAATGACACCCTGTAATAACTATATCTGATATAGAATGACACCCTATAATAACTATATCTGATATAGATTGTCACCCTGTAATAACTATATCTGATATAGAATGACACCCTGTAATAACTATATCTGATAAAGAATGTCACCCTATAATAACTATATCTGATATAGATTGTCACCCTGTAATAACTATATCTGATATAGAATGACACCCTATAATAACTATATCTGATATAGATTGTCACCCTGTAATAACTATCTCTGATATAGAATGTCACCCTATAATAACTATATCTGATAAAGAATGACACCCTATAATAACTATATCTGATATAGAATGTCACCCTATAATAACTATATCTGATATAGATTGTCACCCTGTAATAACTATATCTGATATAGAATGTCACCCTATAATAACTATATCTGATAAAGAATGACACCCTATAATAACTATATCTGATATAGAATGTCACCCTATAATATCTATATCTGATATAGATTGTCACCCTGTAATAACTATATCTGATATAGAATGTCACCCTATAATAACTATATCTGATATAGAATGACACCCTGTAATAACTATATCTGATATAGAATGACACCCTATAATAACTATATCTGATATAGATTGTCACCCTATAATAACTATATCTGATATAGAATGACACCCTGTAATAACTATATCTGATATAGAATGACACCCTATAATAACTATATCTGATATAGAATGTCACCCTATAATAACTATATCTGATATAGATTGTCACCCTGTAATAACTATATCTGATATAGAATGACACCCTGTAATAACTATATCTGATATAGAATGACACCCTGTAATAACTATATCTGATATAGAATGACACCCTGTAATAACTATCTCTGATATAGAATGACACCCTATAATAACTATATCTGATATAGAATGACACCCTGTAATAACTATCTCTGATATAGAATGACACCCTATAATAACTATATCTGATATAGATTGTCACCCTGTAATAACTATATCTGATATAGAATGTCACCCTGTAATAACTATATCTGATATAGAATGACACCCTGTAATAACTATATCTGATATAGATTGTCACCCTGTAATAACTATCTCTGATATAGAATGTCACCCTATGATAACTATATCTGATATAGAATGACACCCTGTAATAACTATATCTGATATAGAATGACACCCTATAATAACTATATCTGATATAGATTGTCACCCTGTAATAACTATATCTGATATAGAATGACACCCTGTAATAACTATATCTGATAAAGAATGTCACCCTATAATAACTATATCTGATATAGATTGTCACCCTGTAATAACTATATCTGATATAGAATGACACCCTATAATAACTATATCTGATATAGAATGACACCCTATAATAACTATATCTGATATAGATTGTCATCCTGTAATAACTATCTCTGATATAGAATGACACCCTATAATAACTATATCTGATATAGATTGTCACCCTGTAATAACTATATCTGATATAGAATGACACCCTGTAATAACTATATCTGATAAAGAATGTCACCCTATAATAACTATATCTGATATAGAATGACACCCTATAATAACTATATCTGATATAGATTGTCACCCTGTAATAACTATCTCTGATATAGAATGTCACCCTATAATAACTATATCTGATATAGAATGACACCCTAATAACTATATCTGATATAGAATGACACCCTATAATAACTATATCTGATATAGAATGTCACCCTATAATAACTATATCTGATATAGATTGTCACCCTGTAATAACTATCTCTGATATAGAATGTCACCCTATAATAACTATATCTGATATAGAATGACACCCTATAATAACTATATCTGATATAGAATGACACCCTATAATAACTATATCTGATATAGATTGTCACCCTGTAATAACTATCTCTGATATAGAATGTCACCCTATAATAACTATATCTGATAAAGAATGACACCCTGATAACTATGATATAGAATGTAACCTTATAATAACTATATCTGATAAAGAATGTCACCTTATTAACAATATATATGATATAGCGTATCACTATAATAATTATACCTGTTAAAAAGGAAATCATTAACATTTTGTATTAGCAACAGACTGTAGTCCATGTATATAAGACTCTAGATGTTTGAAATGTTCACCTACTTGTTTACTGAAAGTAATTACATCTCCAGTAAAAAGAAATGACATCCTCAGTAGAGAGACTTGTGTACGTATAGAATGAAAAAGGTGAAGATAACAAACAGTGATCGATCTCAAAAAATCTATAAATAATACAATTCTGTGAAGAGGGCATACAACATGGACCCCTGGAAATTCCAGAGGTGGGATCAGGTGCCTAGGAGGAGTAATCATCCCCTATTGACAACCGCCATGATCCCAAAATATTGATCAGGTAGACGGAACATTCCGTAGTTGAATTCAGTATAAAAACAAAGGCCTGACAATAGAAATATCTTTTACATTGAAGAGTTTTTAATGCATAAAAATGTTATGAACATCAAACTTATTTACTTTATGTGTCTGTCACAGAAACAACACAAGGTGTTTAAAGATTGTACAGACAAAGAAATTAACCTGTTGAAGGATGAAATTCGGAAATTAGAGGTGAGAGTATCTGAAAAGCCCATTCCTTAGCCAAAATAAAAGGAGACCATTTTACATTTACATTCAATAGAGGTAAAATATTTCTTCCTATGAAAGGATTAAACATAGCTAATATTGAACTACACATATGGTAACATTCTTGATAGATGTGGTTTATTATTAAAGGCAAAAATTTTATATGATATAGAATGTTGATATAATCTGACAGCTGAGAAACTGGACATACCAATGTTGTGGATTTAATTTAAGGTTGTGAAATACAAGCTGGAGAAAGATGTCACAGAACAGGAAAGAAAGCTACATCTTCATGTCCAATCTTCAGAGCAGCATCTGAATCAACTGACAGAAACAGAAGAGAGTTTCAAGTCCCTCTACACTCAATGTAAACAGCTGAGCGAGGCACAGGCACAGCTAGAGGAGAGTGGTGAGTTAACAGTAAAGTAACAAAATATCTCTATTGTTAGAGTAGTAACAAAATATCTGTATTGTTACTTTGAGTAGTAACAAAATATCTCTATTGTTACTTAGAGAAGTAACAAAATATCTCTATTGTTACTTAGAGAAGTAACAAAATATCTCTATTGTTACTTAGAGAAGTAACAAAATATCTGTACTGTTACTTACAGAAGTAACAAAATATCTCTACTGTTACTTAGAGTAGTAACAAAATATCCCTTCTGTTACTGAATATCTCTACTGTTACTTAGAGTAGTAACAAAATATCTCTACTGTTACTTAGAGTAGTAACAAAATATCTCTATTGTTACTTAGAGTAGTAACAAAATACTATTGGTTTATATAGTAGGTGTCACACTAATAGAATGTCTCACTAAATAACAGAATGTCTCACTAAATAACAGAATGTCTCTACTGCTTTAAAAAGTAGGTGTGGCACAAAATAACAGAATATCTCTACTGCTTTATAAAGTAGGTGTCACACTAAATGGATACTTTGAAAAGCATTCCCATGTTCTAAGAAAGGATAAAATTGCAAATTTTTAACATCTTGGCAGAAAGTTGGAGGGGATATAATAGCTTGTGTTTGTGTGGGTGATTGTGTGTGTGTGTGTGATATAGAAATTGATGTGCTCTTGTGCAAGGGGATGCTCCGCTTTGCGGCGCCCTTGTAAAGTAATTTTATTTTGGCGCTTCATCAAAAGCCACTTGAAAAAGGATATTGGTGCTAAAAGATTACAATTTCATGGTATTTAAGTCCATAAGTTATACTGGTGTTTCTATTACTAGAATTATGTAGGATTTTCCCTCCAGATTTTCATAAGGTTCTTAATTGTTCAATGAGTGAAAGGACTAAATACTTTTCTCCGAAAGCTCATGAATGGTGGATGATTGCATCACAAAATCTTTTAATCCTTACAGTTCATTCATAAAAGAAAAAAATCTCATCAATATTTATATTGAATTTATTTCAGAAACAAACATAACAACAAGAAAGGTACTTTTAGAAGTTAACCATCAACAAATGCATAACTAACACCTTAACCATAGCTTGTGTCCAAATAACTACATAACAGAGGACACCACTGGTTTTAGAGATCAGCAATATGTTGATCCTAAAAGTTAAAAAATCTAACATCAGATTTGCATGATGTCTTCATATAACAAGTTATAACAATAAATATTTCTAAAACTTAACAAAGAATGTAAATAAATTTATAATGTAATTGTCTAGGATGATATAACAATGGAATGGTAACTGAGGGTGATATGGAATGGGGAACAAGGCCAGTTGGTTTTAAATTAGGCTTTTTGTTAACCTGTTACTAACATGTTATAACAAAGAGAAAGCATGATGGCACACAAGGTCTTATTTCATAATGTTCAAGGTAACAGTGAAATAGAATGAAAACTCTTTGTGATTTTGGCTAAAGATCAAAAACTTACAGAGGGCAGTGATAACATTTAGTATTCTGGAAGACATACAATGCTTTAAAAGAACGGTTTTCTTTTGGAAGAAGGCATTTAAATAAATTTAAATGTAAATATAAAAAATTCTTTGTGTTACAATGTAAACCTTGCAGGTCTTTTATACAGTGAAATATATACACAATTTTAAAGTTACTCTCTGCTTAATAATCTGGCATCAATACAAGTCATTCCAATTATATACAGACACACGCATGCGGGTTTTAATCATCTATGAAAATTAATGCAGTTTTTGTAATGCATTATAAGCTCCTCTTATTCATAATTAAAATATTTAATTAAATGAAGACTATATAACTTGGCACAGTTTGCAATTATAAAAATTAATATATGAAATTTTTTTTTAAAAAAGTTGTAAAAATATTTTGATTATTTACGTAAATGTAATTTAATAACCTGTTGTAAAATATAATAATAATTAAATAAAAGTAACAATAAAATATTTACATTCGCTTGTTTTGTAGGATTTGATTGTTTAGCTCTGATAAAGCCTAGCTTCACTATACATGTAATTGTTGTATATGTTGTAATTGTGGGTGATTCTTGTTGCTGATTGGCCAGCCTCACTGTAAGTGTCCGTGGTCTCAGTATTAAATCCTTCTTCCTCCTCGCTATCTTCCTGGGGGTCCGAGTTAGAAGAGGACCCCGTGTCACTATTCCCTGAAAAGTCAGAAGATTCAGAGTGCTCTCGTGCCCTGTCCATAGTCCTTAAACCCAAACATGAACTTAGCATAGGCATGGACAGCAAACTCTGACGAACCCCTTCTCGAACTTTTTCACGAATTTCTTGGTCCATATTTTTGCGTATTTTTTCGTTTTCCCTCCTGAGCTTTTCCACTTCTTCCTTCAGGTAACTCATTTCTTCAGCTTTCTCATCAAGTTCACCGTTTTTAGCTTTGACTAATTTGGCACATAAGGCTTTGGCATCTTTGATTTCTTTTTCCTTTTTGTCACAGTAATCTTTAACAATATCCTGGAAATGTCGGGTTTCACAGCCAGTAAAAGTGTCCCTACAGTCCTCAATTGTTTTCATGAAGACGTTCATTCCTTCCACTAGTTTTTGGTGTCCTTTTGGATATTGCTGCTTGTGACATGTACCATAGAGAACAGCGTATCCCCTCTTAAACAGAATTTCACTGATTGGGTGAAGTTGATTACAATTACTGTTCTTTATTTTGTTTTCTTCCTGCTCTTGCCTCGAGCGATAATATCGCACTTTCTTATTTAGTTTTTTAACAATAAAAATGTTTCGTGTCTCTAACAAGAGGGCATCTGTCATAACCTGAAGTGGCTGTTCTCGGTGTTGTAAGATCTGTATGAGCTTCTTGATCTTTTGTGAGGATGCCCCATGAATCTGAAAAAGAAGTTACCTCATCAATTTCAAAACTGGCATGCATAATTGACAATTTTACAAAAACCATGAGTAGAAAATATTTTTTTCAAAAAGTTTATTTTTAATTAATTCAATCAATTTAGCCTAAGTAGCAATAACTAATAATTTATGCCAAGGGAAAGATTTCAAATACTTACTGACAAGTCATGTTTTTCAGTTTTGTTGATCTTATTATGTTGCAGTAAGTGCCTAAGAATGCGATCTGTTATAACCATGTGGCTCTGCAAATCATTCCTCAAGTTATGTAATGCCTGTTTCTCTGCAGAATCCATCTTCAGAATATTCTCTCTGCTTGAAAGGAAAATCAAATGTCTGAAACTCTTTCATGTAATTTTTCAAAGTTTCTCCCAGAATAAACCTGTGATCCTATGTAACGAAAGATTACCAGTATCAGTCTTGAAACAAAAGACGATAACCTGGTGCCAAGCTATGAGTCATCCAAGTATTGAAATTTAAAAAGACAGTAGCCTACCACCCAAACTGAGTTGGTCTACTTGTTTTTCCCTTGATCTGCAGGATTGAGTTATTGAGAAGCAGGCCCAAAAACCCCCTATTTATTTTATGATTGCACATATCCCCTTTCTCTACTCTTTTATAAAGAGAACCAATGTCTTGTTTCTCACAGGTTCACGGTGATTTCTACCAATTTATCAATTTTTGCATTATGGGTATTTTTTTATTGAAAATTTTTCCTGCAATTTTAGGAAAAAATATTCTTTATTTAGTATACCTTTTTTATTGCACACCAAAAAAAAAATGAGAGCCCAATACAGGCCATTCCTTCATCTAAGATCTGGTATCGAATATTTTTGATGCATTTAGTCCATTAACTTAAATGATTATTTACAATTTTTTTTTCCCACCAGAAAAGTGAAAAAGTAGCTCTGACAATTTGAATTATAATCCCTGCTAAATGGAGAGAGTATCAAACAACAACAAATGAAAATACATTAAATTTTAACAAAGTAAGCCATGGACTAGACCCTCATCCTAAATTTCTCATTTTTTAAATAAGTTAATTGATCAGTAAAAAAAAATCATCTGTTATTGAAAAATATGATTGAGATATAGGGCCACACATTTGTTATAGAATTCTTCGCAGCAAATGGAAACATTTCAGATAAGAACGGTATTGGGAAATGTTTTTGTTAACTTTTAAAAATCAGCCCAAAATGTCTCCAACATTTGGTCCCAATAGTATTCTTAACACACCCTTTTCTTTTAGACATGAAAAATATGACTCTGTCACTGCTTGATAAGGATATACATACATTTATTGTTTCAATATCATTTGCAATATCTTGGACTATATATTTGCTGTTCAAACATTAAATTAAAAAAAATATATCACATGAGGTTAAGAAGTGCTTAATTCTTTTTTTACGTTAACAAAAAAACTTTCTGTCTACATGAAAATGTAGATGTCTGTGAAGCTGTTAGTATCAATCAAAATAAACTCAGAATTAAATAAATGCATTAAGACTAAAAGTATCTTGTGAAGTATAGATCCAGTCAGAAGGAATGTTATAGCACTATTTTTTCAGAAAGATAAGTAATTTATAAACGGCACTGTTTTAAAAAGTCATGTAAATTATTTTGTAAAAACTTACCATTAATTTTGGTTATTCTCAGAAGCCAAATACAGCTGGCTTTTGGGTAGTTACACTATAAATCCTCTCTAATTGTAGCCCTTTACCTTAGTGCTAAGTCACAAGTGCTGTACACTTGTATTTTAATCCAATTGACGTCACACAGACAGGGAATCGTAGTAAATTAAATGTATATATGTTACCTACTGGGATTTAAAATAATTGATGAGATTTTTATAGGGTGCAAGATTAGAGCAGATTCTTATCTGCTTGCTGATCTTTTTTTAAAAAAAAGATTTTTGTTAAATCACTGCATTTTTAAATTTATTTTAAGGGGTTTTCTTCATGTTTGGTATGTACACTGTATTCCTGCAATGGATTTTATGTTTTAGGGACAATAAATGATTTTTAACCTTTTCTCTCCTATGTTTATAATGAATCTAATATTTTTATTCTAATATTATTCGATCATTTTGGAATGATATGACTGGATGAAATCATGTTTATTATTTTCCTTCAGTAAAGACTTCGGTACAATGCACAGGGATTGAAATGAGCTACAAAGATTAATACTTAATCGTTAATCAGTGGAAGATCCAGAAGCTCGGGAAGGGAGGGGGGGGGGGGGGTTGAAGCCTGATGGACCATAAATTTTCTACAAGTTCTATATTGTAAATGGACTACTGAGCTTGAGTTCAGACTTATATAATTGAAGTATACTGTATAGAGGCAATGATTTTTTTGTTTTTGTTTTATTTTGTTTTTTGTTTTGTTTGAAAGATATATGGCATCAGTTGAAGTGACAGAAGTCCCTCAGTTGCAAATGGACTAAAATTGCATTTTGTTATTTTAAAGGTTAAACATAATCATACAGGAATGGAAGCAGTATGTATTATACATGATAGACTTATTAATAATAAGATAATAAGTGCAGGAATCTATTAATGTACATTACATGAGAGCTTTTGCAGGTTTAGAAGTTTTTTCCTGTAGCTTGTATATTTTTTATCACATTTATTTTATCACACATCAAAGTTATTCTTGGTGTATGAAGAGTCCTGCTGCTATTCTTGGAATACAAATCTTCTTCCTAGTTTTCTTGTTAACATTCAACCCAGTGAGTTGGCGGTATATAAAGAATTTCTTAATTGTACAATCTGTTTCATTTTCAAAAAATAAAAGAACATTTATTTTTAATTGCACAACTTTTTAATAGCTTGACAAAAGCAAATTGATAATAGTATGAAGTATGGTATTGAAATTCAAGATTTATTTCAAAACTCTAATTATGCTGTCAGTTCAGCTAAGATAAAATCAGATTTCACATGCAAGATAGTGTAAGGTAGTTTCAAAATTCCCAAGTCTTTGTCAAATGATAGAATGTCTAGTGAAGAATTTCTCTGGATAACCAACAAATCAAAATCTAAAGGTTTAATTTGAGTTTCTCAGACTGGTATCTGGGCTGATTTGAATTGAATATTTGAATTGGAAGCCAGCAGTATTTACCTAGTTCTTACTTATATGTGTTCGTGTTGGGGGTCTGGGTTTGAACCTCCCCCGAGGAGGGTTAAATACCTGCTTTATTAGTAATTTATTGGCACTCGTCTAAGGATCCCCTCTCACTGTTAAGTTTAATCCATATTTTGTGATATATCTTTAGGTCAGAAGATTGTGTTGCCTGTATTTCTGTCCAAGAGACTATCTTATCACAGTGGGCATTACCAACTTATAAATCCTTAACCTTGAAAAAGAAAATGCAAAATGATAGAGAGAAATCGATAAAAAATTAAACCCAATAGCACAAAAATCAGCCTATCCCTTTCAAATAAGACTCATTATATGCTTAAGTTTGCACATGCATTATCTAATAGCTAAACTTGATGTTTTTATATTGCCATGACAATATTTTAATGTGACAAGATGTTATGTGTTGATTAAGCTGTGACATTTTAGCAGAGTTGTTTTAAAATTGATTTTTTTTTTATTTGTAAACCAGTTTTTAAATAAATAGATAAAATAATGAAGATTATCAATTGATGAGATAAAATGTTGACATCTTTTTGTGAAATGATCATATGTTCCTGTATCACAATAGTTCACAGATCCATGTGCATAAAAATATATGACCAATGGAGACAATAAGATCAAGCTTGTTTATGAAGAAATGGTGTAATCAAGATAATATTTTATTTTGTAACAATTTCCATATAAAGTTAATGTCTGCATGATTTGTCGTTTACTTAGTGCTGTTTGGGTATTCTGTACTATAACATAGTAAGGACATAACACATGAACATACCTCAAACCACAATATAAATCAAAAATTAAACAAGGCATAAATGAGGAAATCTGTAATTGATCTGATGTTCTCGTGGTTTTAACTGTTTTTTGTTGATTTTTTTTAATGGTTCAGACTTTTGCATGCAGTTCTGACATTAAAATCAATGATTTGGAACTCACGATAACTTGCTTTTGTCTCTGTTTAAACGCTCTGTAAGTACTATTGATACCTGTTTATGAGTCATTGCTATGGATTTAAATGCACTGTTACACTTTAAATAAAGCTTTCATTCCATTGATATGCATATTGTGTTTTAGAATTCCTATGGTGTTTTATTTATATTGCTCGTCAAGAGTGTAATAATCCCATATATAAGTTGATAATCTTTTTTAGCTAATGGTGTTATGTAAACTAAGGAGGGTTATATTGGAGGTGATGATGTAAGGGGTCTCAGATTAGTATATTAACACTCTTGTGTGGTGTATTCAATATGCATGAACTGATAGATATGACATGCTGTTGCAATTTGTCATTTGTGAGACCTGAGATTGTTCTCAGATATATTTGACATAGTTGTCCTTAGTACCAGTAATATCATATGCAAGAAGTGAAAGTACCAGTAAAGGGAAGGATTGAAACTTAACATTTACTTAACATATTTATGTTTACCCTCCCTGAAAAAAAGAAATAAATGAGACACTTTTTGCAAGCTTTTTCTTGCATTTTTAAAATGCAATTAGTCACATTTTATCTGTATTGAATATCATTTCTGTATTGAATATTATTTCCCCCACAATGTATTAATCTCAATCTCACAAAGTAGTGCATTCTGTTTGAGCTTAATGGCTTTACCCTGTTTTAAGCCATGTTAATCCCCTCTAGATGAGGGGGTCTTTTTTCTGTTCTTTGTCCCCTTTACTTACTTTGGCATTGTAGGTAAAGGTCTATTAACAGTGGTGGTCAGTTATTGACTTTGGCACCGACTCAAAATGGTAGAACCCATTTCTGAACAGGAATGTTCTTGCAAATGTATAGCAAAAGAGAAGGACATTGAGAAAAAAAAATCACACAATCTTCAATAACTTTATTAATAACAAATTTAACAAATTTTTAACTAATCTAATAAACTTAACAAAAACACAACAGTTTTCTAACTAAGATTCACTACAAAGTTTGATCTAATTTTGATAAATTTTTGTGTCACTGTACATATGGTTGTTGTAGATGTTGTAGTTATGGACAATTTTTGATCCTTTTTGAGTCGTGGAAGTTGTCATTTTATTTGATGCAGGAACATCACTGTCAGACTCACAATCAGACTCAGAGTCCGAAAGAGAATGTTCCTGAGGCTCGGGGCGTTTTACAGGGGAACGCTGCCGTAATTTCCTGTCCAAAATGTCTTCCTCGGTTTCGACATAAGGAACTGGATCTGTGGGAGACAGACGGGGAAGCATAAGAAGGCGATCTACATTCTCCTGTACTTTGGTTTTGATTTCTATTCCCATTTTCTTCCGCATGGATTCATTCTCAACTTTCAGCTTCATAAGTTCATCTTGTAAGTCTTTGATGTTCTTCTGTTTTTCTTCCAGGTCACTGTTTTTGCTTTTCACAAGTTTGGCACACACCAGTTTTGCATTTTCAATTTCCTGGTGCTTCTTTTCTTTGTACTCGGCAATAATTTCTTGAAAACTTTGTCTCTCGCTGGAAGGCTCCAAACTCTGTCGACATTTAGTGATATCGCCAACAAATTTGTTAATGTCTTCCACGAGAGCTTGGTGGCTTGTCCCTGCTGTAACTTTTCTGGATTCTCCATATATTGTTAAATATCCACGTGTGTAAAGAATATCTGCCACATCATCTAACTGTCCAAAATAAGAGGATGTCTGGTTTTCCTGAGCTTGGAGGCGTTTACGGCAGAACCGAACTTTCTTCCTCAGTTTCTGAACAATGTAGTCATTTTTCACATCAAGAAGAAGTGTCTCGGTTAGAGTTTTCAAAGGCTCCTTTCGATTTTTCATGATTTGCAATATTCTTTTTACTCTTTGGCAGTTGGCACCCAGTCTCTGAAAAAAATCAAGGTCAAGAATTAGAAATTTCTTTTCAAATATTAAACATAGTTATTGATTGAATGTTAAAAGAAAAAAAGGAACTGTAAGATTTTGTTGGCAAACAAAGATACATACTGAGAGTTCATATTTTTCAGCCTTTGTGATTTTTTGGTTCTGTAGGAAGTGAACGAGCATCTTGTCTGTGATTACTGCACAATTCTGTAGTTCCTCTTTAACATTGTGTAGAGCTTGGCGTTCTGCTGGATCCATTTTCTAGTTTCTTGAGAAAGTTCCTGTTTTGGATAAAAAAAAAAATTGATTTTCTTGGTCTTCTTTTACCAAAAATCACACCTTTCCTTTTCTCCTGTGACATTTAAATGATCAAACAAGCTAGAGACACACTAATTTTGGAGTCGCATGACGTAAATCGGGTTAAAGTTGGCAGGAAATCAGTATTTTAGGAGCATGCTTATCACTACTTAAACTTGTAAGATAAATTAAAAATTCAGAGAATGATAGGGCAGTATATTGATACAGTTCTTAAAAAGTGACAGTTAAGAATTCCAGGTGAATTTTGATTTGCTTTCACAGAAACCAGATTTTTTTTGTTGATTGATATTTAATATTTAAAGAATAGTTTCAAATTAAAATTGAAAAAAAATATTGTGTTGCTCTTTATAAAAATGATTTAATAAATACATGTAGTTATAAATTGGTATTTTGTTCTCATGAATTTTTTTTAGCAGGATCATGTACTGAAGACAACTGTCACTAAGCACTATTTTTATCATACAGGACCTTTGTCTAAAAGACTTTTCAACACTGCAAAATTAATCGAATATAATTAGGGTCATGAAAAATAAGTATATGATAAAAGATAAGGAGGACCCTATGTACTTACCCCGAAATCTTAGATGGTCAAGACTGCGAGTGCCGCCCGTCCAATCTTTGTGCCGATAGCTGGGATTTCCCAAGCTCATGTGAACATTACATTAGAACTGTGTCAGTATTTCATTTACTTTATGACGTCAATGACTACCTTGGATTTAAATGACCAAGAATTAAAAGCCTTATGTTGAATGTCCAACCTAGGGATATTTAAATTCTTCTCGTGTTATTACCTTTATTTTGGTGATTGGACGCAGTTCAACTCTTCTGTTGGAGTACTGTCAATAAATTTCTCCTACATTTTAAAGATGTGTATTGGGGTATTGACACTAATATTGTACCCTTTTTGGCAGCCATCTGTCCTTTAATTATCACTTGGACCCCCTCATTCTATGTATTGAGGGAGATTAAGACTTTCTGCTGGGTAAACAAAGATCACTTGAAGTAGTCTTATATTGGGAAGTAGTCCTAAATTTTCCTTTGGAGCGGCTATTTGTAACTTATTTATTTAGCAATCTTTGGTAAATCTGCTGAGGGTTACAATGAAGTTTTACCTTTAGTTAGAAAGAGAAGCATTATTAAAATAAAATTATAGAAATTTCTTTTAAGCGTAAGGAAATATAAACTTAAGGATAATGAATATGTTGATTTAATAATTTTCCTATAAAAGAACCATTTTTATATATGTATGATAATACTTCATGGTTATGGTACATATTTATTTTGGTATATTTAATCAGAGTATTGTGATAATGAAATGGTTAAGTAATCATTGAAGGTTAAGAGTCATGTATAACTTAAGTTGATTTCATTGATTAAAAAATAAAACAACACACAAAAACTTTCAGAAGTTATTAATAGTAGGAGATGATGTAGTTTCCGAAAATTGGTTACTGTAACGCAACTGATGGTAATGTAGCTTGTGATTATATCCAACTCGGCTTAAACCTCAGACAAGTCACAAAATTATGTGGATCCTGTGCTATTCGCAACACATGTGTAGGATTTTGAGATCTTTATAGATCAATAAGAACAACACTGTGCTTTTGTAGAATGAATTGTATTATGGAAATTTACATCAACATAACATCATGGTAAAACAAGAAAGAGAAGAGAAGTGCGTGCTGCGCATTCTCTTGCCATGTATGTTGACAGCCCAATATAGTAAGGCTTCTATTAAGCATCCATTAGGCTTCTATTAGGCACCCAAATAATAGGGCCTCCTACTACATAACATAATTAGGCCATCATTAGGTGTCAGGCACCTAGTTATAGGGCCTCCTACCACATAACACTAGACCTCTAAGACATCCAATATTATTAGGATGCCATTAGGCTAACAGTATAGCTAGTGATAAACAACAACAATAAAATTACTATAAGTATAAAAGTTAACTACTCAAATCTATAACTCAAATAGAAAACTGTATATTATGCAATAAAAAACAGTACAGTTACAATTAATACAGAACACTGTCAGCAAGGCCAGGGAAGTCCAGTGTGTTCTGATTCTCATAGTGTGGCTTTTCTGATTGGTCGGATTCTGATGTCGAATCAGAATCTAGGTCCATGGCATTGGCACCGCCCATTTGAAAATGTCCATGATTATGAATGTTGATGGTCACACTGGGTTTAGAGGAGGGTCTAGTATCCACAGGATTCAATCGAAGCAGCCTTTCTTTGACAATTCTGTCTACAGTTTCTCGAATTATTTTGTCTTTTTCTTCTCGTTCTCGCTCTAGCTCACTTTCAAGTTCTTCCACTTTTGTTGTCAGTTCATCATTTTCTACTTGAAGACTGTCAATCCTTTTCTTCCACACAGTTCTTTCCAATCGAAGATCATCAGCAATGGCCTGTGTTTTCTTCTGGAGGTATTTACTTTGCAGATCTTTTAATGGAACATCTGAATTTTCATCCATGGGATCCATTGCCATTCTGCAGTATTTGAGGGCTTTCACAATGTCATTGCCATCACAGGTTTGCTTGTTTGTCTCTTCTGAACAATTCCCTTTATTATCACCATGAACCAGTGGAGCCACAGAATTGTAGAAGCTCTCAAACACCACAGAGGGTTTCGGATATTTTTTGGTCTCCTTGAATGGTTTTCCATCCATGACGAGATCTGTTTCTTTTAGTTCTCGGAGTCTGTGTTGCTGTTTGTGATGTCGAACCATTTTTTGCATTTTATCCACACAGTACTGGTTGATGTTCCTTTCAAGCATTAAAGCTTCTGTAAATGCACTGAAACCTTTTTCTTTTTTGCGCATTATTTCTGCTAATTGGGTGTTTCTCTTTGAACTCTGTCTTATTCTCTGAAAGAACAAGAATTCATGATTGCAAAAAAATCATTGTAGCACAAATGCAGGTACATTTTTTGGAGCAAGATGGCAGCAGATTTTTCACAAAGTATAATTATTTTTAAGCAGACATTTGAAATGTTTTTGAGTCAGTTTACCATGAGACACTTTCGGTCCCTGTGGGAGATCATGTCTGTACTTTCTAGTCGGCGAAGAACAGCATCAGTCACTAGAAGGTTATTGCTGATGTCTTTCCGACAAGTTTCTAAAGCATACAATTCACTGGTGTCCATGTTTGGCTTTGAAAATAGAATTCAGATAAAAATTAAATAATTTCAGGTGCATTAGGAAAAATGAGTATATTTGATTTGCTTTTGAAATAATACTTACAGGTTTAGCCTGGTCGTATCATGAAATTCTGATCTGTAGGTGATACTTTCCTTTTAATTTTGTTTCTTTGAATAAAAATATTTAATGAATCAATGACTTAAAAGAAAGAGGACTGGAAATTTGAGCTAGCAAAGATATTTTGTCTTTTCTTTAAGGGTGATCATATGTGACAGTCACTAGAACTTTACTGGTCAGTAAATGTGAAATACTTGGAGTAGGTTAGGTCCACTGAATAGAATTCTGAACAAAGAACAATACAAACAGCATAATTCTGAAATCCTACCAGTTTCTTTTGTGAAAAAGCCTCAGTTCACAAGTCTGTATACCATTTCATACACTCAGTTAACAAAGTTAGTGGATGGGGTAATACATGTGTACTAGCTGGCTTCATCTGTTCTGTTTGCTTATGTATTTTAGTCATACATGATCTTTCTCTACAGCTATTCAATTTTTGTTGACAATTTTTAAAAAAATATTTTTAAAGTTAGATTCTAGGTTTATTTTAGAAATTAAGGGAAAAAATAATGTGTATTATGTCAATGAAATTTCTAATGGAGATAATATCTATTATCTCTAAAACTTGTGATATTTACAAACTTCAGTGAATCGATGTTAACATTGTATACCATTCAGACCTGTGCACAGATTACTTATTACTGATCTGTCAAAGTTGTTTGTTTTGATATTTTTTGCAGGGTTAAAGCCTTTAGATATAGATAGAATTCCTGTAAAATCCCTAACTTTGCTTTGAAGAAACATTAGCTTACATTTGGCAAGGAAGTTGCTTCTGACCAAGAAATGGGTCCTAACAGACCAACATCATTTGAACATGCTAGGTCACATGGTTTATAAATGTAACATTCTCATGAGGGCTATAGTTTTATAGTGTAAGATGAATAAGAGCCCAAACTTGGCACAAAGGTTGAACATGGCTAAGGATGTGTCCTGACTATGAAGTATAACTCTTTGGACAATGTCACAAAATTGTATGATGTGTAATATAATGATGTTTCTTACATATCAGTAATTTATTATCATTTTTCTCGATACTTATCTCTGTATTTTGTAATTGGATAATCAGCATAAAATTTAAAAATTGTGCTTAGTTTGCAGCAGTTTTGATTGCTTCATAAAAGGCTGTCCCATTCAGAGATCCGGAAATTTTCTATTAGGCATGCATTTTATTAAATTTTTACTTTTAAATATCAGAATTCTTTAACCATTTTGAAATTCAGGGACAAAATCAATGGAAATATTGTACATACTTATTTCTAGCTTTTGATTTTTTGACAGCTACCTAATTTTTAATGTCTGAAGTTGAACCAAAAGTAAAGAAATTAGAGTTATGTCCCTCTACATGTACTGCCATAAAACCCACCACAAAAAAAAGCAAAACAAAACAATGTATAAAAACTAGATAGATATGTTTATATTCTATTTGTAAGAGACTCAGATTAATGCAACTTTAATATGTCCACCGCTTTTCAAGCGGAGAGGGGTATATATTGATGTATATAGTGATGGGTGTCTCTATGACATCCTTTTATCCATACGGCTGTAACACTTGGGGATACCCATCTCTTATCTGCAACGTACTCCTCTTATACAGAGTTCAACACTAACTTTTCTACCCATAAGTACAGCTGGACTAGTGCTTCTTTACTTTTACTTAAGCCTGCAGGTGTTTTTATTAGACCGTCAAAAAAATGCATCATACATGTTTTTGTAACTACTGATTTTGAATATAATATCACAAAGTGCTTCTTACACTATTCGTTGAAGTGAATTGTTCTTTTCCATGAATTTGTTGAAATCAGGAAGTATGATCATGTTCAATCTTGTTCCTTTATGAATTACACCCAAGATGTCCGACATCTGTCTGTGTCAACATGTACTAACGATCACTAAAGCATTTTACTTCATATTGATCTATACAATTAAGCACTCAATTGACTTGGAATTGGGCAACTACCCACCAAAAGCTAAAAATACATTTTGGGTTTGCCATTAAAAATTGTCGAAATCAGACATCTGTAATTATTTTTATTGTTTACCTGAGAAGTTTTAATTGGTCCGTTTGGACTGATTAGCCACAGATTTTATTGGTCCAAATGAAAATGTTTTAGTAAGTCCGAGACTAAAAGACTAATGTTATGCCCAACCCTGCTATACCATGAAAGAAAATGTAATGAGATTTTCATTTTAGAATCTTTATTACATAGTTCCACTGTGCACCTTCTATTTTACGATTCAATCAGAGAGATATTTGGGGTTTCCCATAGCAAAATATGGACACTGCAATTTTTTCTATAACATTGGGGTACCAATCTCTTATCCACAATTCCTCCTATACCTGAATGAAATATAATGAATTTTTATTACACAGTGCCATTGTACATTGTATATTACATTTCAATTAGACAGATATTTGAGTTTCCCATAACTAAACCTGGACACTGCCAACCATTCTATAATGGGGGTACCCATCTGTTATCTGCATCTCCTCCTTTACCACTGAAAAAATTTTAAGAAGACTTTCACAGAATCTTTAGTACATTGTGTCATTGTGGACCTATTTTATGTTCTGATTGGACAGATATTTTGGGTTTCCCTTAGCCAAAAAATGGACTTTGCCATTATACTCCTGTGGTGGCGGGGGTATCATTTTGTGAGCTCAGTGCTCACAGTACCTCTAGTTTTTATTGAATGTGTACATGATGTCTTTTTTTAGGATTCATCAATCACTTTGGCTGTTTCTTCATCTCCTATATATTTTATCCAACATGCAAAAGATTTCATCAGAACTCTTTCAGTATTTAAATTGAGATCTGTATCTAGTACCTGTTTTGACTGCAAACCTGTCTTCTTTTTGTTTATCATATGTACAGCAACCAATTTATACATAGTTCCATAGCAACACAGCAGGAAGTTAAAAATAAAACTATTGAAAAATAATTAAAGATTTTCATATATTTTGGTTGGCAAAAGAAAAAAAAAATTTGAATTTTAATCATTAATTTTAAGCAATTTTTTGTGTAAAAGATTTTCTTAACACACTTTGCCTTGTCCTTGCAACAGTTTGTCTTAGGATATCATTTTCCATCTCCAGTTCTTTATTCTTTTGTTCGTACTTTTTTAACTGTTCCCTGATGACACAAGTTCTTCTCTTATAGTCTGATTTCAAATCTACCATAGCTTTCTCTACTTCTTCTAATTCCCTCATCCACATAACAAACTCTGCATTTTTAGACAGAATGATTTTGACCATCTCTGGAAATGATTTAGCTTGGCCAAAGGTGTCCTGTAGCTGCTGGTGTGCTGAAGTTGTTGTGCTTATTGCTTCTTTGGATTTATGCAAGTGAAAGTCTATAGAATTATTGTTTACAAAGTATTCACCAAAAGCAAACAGGTAGAGATTGCTGAGTTCTTGTTGAAGCTTAAGAAGCATCCTGTGTCTTCTCTCCTCCACTTTCTGTTTGTGAATAAATTCCACTTGATCCACCTCATCTTTCAGTTGCTTGGCAAGATCTGCAGTGCGTTTGTCAGCCTGGAGTTTGTGGATAAGGAATTTCAGTGCTCCAGGCTTTCTTGCTATCACTTGGAAGAGGAAGTTTTCTGTCCTCTGTGACATTGTGCTTATATCCTGCACAAAAAATGCATGTTGAATTATAATAGATTAAAATGAAGAATGAAATAACCAAGTATTGAATTGAATTTCCTCATGAATAAAAGTTATTTAAATTGTCTTGCTTTTTTTAATCTCAAAATAACAATTTTCATGATATTTAAATGTGAATGATTCTGTTTAAAAAATATAAATGATTATTTACACTACAGATACAAACCGTAATTTTGTTGAAGTCTCTCCCCTCCATGACCCCATGGTTTACAAACCACCCCAGGAACTGGGTTGTGGGGCGAAGTCTCTCCACCAGGGTTGTCCGACAATTCTCTAGGGCCCTTCTCTCACAGTAAGCCATTGAGAATGTCCAAAAGTTGGCATTTCAGGGCATTGTTGTGTTAAGGTTTTGAAATGTAATTACCATTTTTGTTGACTTTCAATTAGAATTATACAGTTGACAGGGTCTTGTTTTCAGTTTTTATTGCTTTTAACCTTGATCCTTTTTACTATTTGCATTTAACTGCTAGTGTATTTTTTTTTTTATTTCTGTGAGTAAAATTTCTTTAAGGGTATGTAAAAACACACACATAAGGAATTAAGACTTGGTTGTTTTATTGTTTCTAGCTGTAATGAATATTTGCTGGCATTAACTACTGACTCCTTGTACAGATTCTATTGTTGCAATAATTACTATCTTTGTAGATGAATCAATTAGCCTTGAGATGAACAAATAATTCAGTGACTACTTTACAAGACTTTTTCCATTGAGTTTAAACTAAGTGAAATTAGAACAGTTAATAGATATAGCAAAATAAACTTGAGTGTTAATTAGGACATAATTTACACACACAGATAAATGATTACTCATGCCTGTTCACTTTTTAAGCATTTATTTAATTCAGTGCTTTCATCTTCACAACAGGAGATGGTTTTTACATCAAAGGTCAGTCACATCAGAGAAAATTATCATTCAAACCTTTTCATGCTTAATACTTGCACAGGTTTCAAGATATTGAAGGAACAAAGGGGAATAACTCTTATTTGATTTGTAAGTTTGTCATCAATAATCGTCTCCATGTAGAGATTCAGAATTTGCAAATGACATGGTTGATTCTGGGCGATAGACAAATTCAGTCTCTTCTTGATGTTCAAAGGTCACACTTGGTCCTTGATTTTGGTTGGTCAGCTGTTGTCTGTGGGATCCTGTAGAAATATGCAGACGAGAACTAGACCGACTTCTGCCACTTTGTACAGACTCTTTGTGAGGTATTGAAGAATTAGAAGTTCTCTCAGGAAATATATGATAGAGATGCAGAGTATTTATTGGGCCATGGAAGTGATTGTGATGTTTATTGTCAGAACTTTCATTCTGTTGGTCAGCTCTAGACAAGTTTGTGATGGTTTTGGAACCAGGATTGTTTGATTTTGGCACTGTATTTATGGGATTTTCTGTTTGGCAGTGAGTACTAGTACATTCTGCTTTCAGGTTAGCACTGCATGCTTTATCAACTGAAGTTTTATGAGACTTTCGCCTGGCCTTTGACATATTGTAGTTTAATTTTTCAGTTTCTTTCAATTTTTCCTTTAATTCATGATACAATTTGTGGAGCTTTCTGCTTTCATTATCTCTATGGGCTACCTTTTGCTTCTCATCCTCGAGTAATTTCAGTATCTTTGTCTTTTCTGAAGCATTAAGTTCTTGTTTGTCATATTGTTCCTGCAGTTTTCTCTCCCATTGTTGATTGCACATTATGAGACCTTTCTCTATTTCTATGACTTGTCTCCTGCACTCATCCTTAATCTTCTCTTTGTCTTCCTCATATTTTTCTATCTTCATCTCCAGTTTCTGGATTTGATTTTTCTGCCTGATGCTTATTTCTCTGTATTGTTCATGCAGCTCATCTTTATCTTTGTTACTGGTTATCCTTTGGTTTTCTGCAACACTGTCCACAAGGTCATGAATTTGCTCTTTGTGGTCCATCTTTGACAAGATGTTTTCAGCTCTTTTGAGTCCTAGATTTTCAGATTCTATAATACTTATCACGGCTTGTCTAAATTTTCTTTCTCTGAGCTTGAACTCCTCTAATAACATCTTACAGTGGACAAGTGTACCTACACCTTTCAGTTTTGTTTTTGGTAGGAAGGCCTGCAGTTCGTCTGAAAAAATAAGCTCCCTGCAGCGATTCTGACACTTTTCAATTGATTTTACCTCTTCTCTCAGCTTCTTGGTGAAAGGAATCGATTCTGGGATATCCGAGAAATCAAAAGACTTGCTAAGTTGAGCAAGGGCTTGCAGAATCTTTGAGGATTCATCCAAGACTTTTTCAGTGGGTAAAAGTTCACCTGCATTTGCATGACAGAAGGAATAAATAATATGAGCAGCTTTTGTTAGCTGATTAACATCTGTTGAGCAGTCCTCCTCAGTTTGTGTCCAGCATTCTGTGTACACTTTTTTGGGAGAAATAATTTTGGTAGCTTTCTGACGATTTCTTTGTTTTTGGTTTGCACGTTTAGTTGACACCCCTGTTAATTCTTTTCCCGTGGTTCTGTTTGTGTTAGGAACAGTTGATTCTTTGGCTGATGGTTTGTATGTGATATTCACAGTTGAGGTTTCTTTACCTGTAGTTTTATTCATACCTTGAAATTTTAAAAAAGGAAATTAATTTTGATTGCTATAATCAAGAATTATTGACTGCATATTTAAACAACAAATCATCAGTTATATATTTTGGTACATTTTATGGCTGATTGGATGAAATAGTTCAAGAAAGTGATAAAAATTGTGGATCAGAATGATGTTTTAGAAAAAAATGTTCTTAATTTCAGTGATGAAATATAAGCAAAACTTACCTTCAAAGTTGCATATAAATATAAATCTATTAATTTGCACCTCTGGATTGAATTGCTCTGCAGAGTTTCTAGTGACATAGTGCAGTGTGCCTGAACAATTAAAACAATGTACAGGACGTACGTCTTAATCTGTTCCATCAATGACTGAGAATCCATTGTCATATATATATTGTTCGTGACTCATTCAATGCATCTTGAAGTTGCTTTGTAATACCTGAATTTGTTTTGTCAATGTATGGTTCTGCATAGATAAAAAAAGTCTTACTGAAAGAGGAAAATATTAATACAGTAGTGTTTTAAAAAATTCATCAGTTGTTGGGGGGCTTTATAGAATGAGGTCTTTTCTTAATTGATCTTGTAATAGTTACTACAAAAAATGTTGGAAAGTTTTCATCTTGATATATTTCTTGCCATATTTTGACCCCAAAATATATATTACCATATCAAAATACCCACATAATGTGGCTAAAATTTAGCTTTAACATTAATATCTTAATATAGATGTGAAAAGGATGTGTGTTTTAATTTGTTTTGTTTTTTTTTTTATTTTTAATTTATAAATTTAAAGTTGATTTAAGATATTGAAGACTTTGATTTATTTACTTAGAGGTTATCAAAATGCATTAAATTTTATAAATAAAAAGTGTTTGGAATGTCTAATATGCTTGTACGTCGTTAGTGTTTCAGATATGAATGTTCAAGATACTAATGTTCAAATATACAATGCTATTGGTTAAATGTACTGGAGGTTAGGAGGTCTGATAGAATACTAAAATGTTGCCACATCAACTTGGTCAGACACACTTTCTTTGATTGTATATAATTTTATGTTGTCCTGCTTTGAGTTTGCCTTCTGGGTCATAGTATAAAAAAGTATAGTTTTGAAAAGGCATTTATTTTTATCTGCAATAAAAAGTGTACTAAAAAGTAATTGATAATTGTAGACTTGATTTTTGAAATACAATGTAGTGGTCAAATGCTGTTGACTTTCACTTTAAATCTAAAAAAAAAAAAAAAAAAAATTTGCATATATTGATGTCAATCAACTGTTGATTTTATGAGGGAAAAACACACTGCAATTTTTTTTCTAAATAAATTAGATACTGTATGTTTCATTATACTTAGAAGTATTATATTCTTTTATTATAAGTCTATTGCACCTATTGTATGGACATAGTTTTTAGAGATTATGAAAGCAGCTGAATTCTTTATTTTTCACTGCTGTAAATGGTATAGTGGTGATTCCTTTTTCTAAGCCATTTCTAAATGAACTCTGTGAAACAAAAGCTAAGTCAGATCTTTAATACTGAGTAATATGCATTCATATTTGGTTATCTAATTATCTAATAATTAAATACTTTTATGATTAGGTAAAAAGTTGGCACTTAATCTTGTCTTGAAAAAGAACCACTGCATGATTTTAACTATCCTGAGACCTGTTACAGTAGAGATCAATCAGAGATATAATTATAATTCTAGATATCCATTATCCTGATACATACTCTGATCCTATATGACTGACAGTTCTTCACCTTAAATTTAAACCTCATATATATATCAGTCTGGGAATAAGATCATAAAATAGATTATTTGAAAATTTAATACATGTATTTTTTTTTTTTTTAAAAAAGAAGCAAATTTACCATTGGGGGGAGGGGGGGGGGGATTTAAACACAGTCAGAAAACTTTACTAAATTCCTTTCTTAATGCACTAATTTTTTTTTTTTACCCAACATTTTATAATTCTAACTTCTTTTTTTGGAGGGGGGGGGGGGGGGTTACATTCCTATACCTTAACATGTTGTTAAATCTCTGTATGTCAGGTCACTCTTCTTATTAATAAGGATATAGTGAAAAACAAATTCAATATACATATATATGTATAAACCATGTACAACACATTTGATACTAGATGAATAATAAATAATTTCTGGACATTTTATTTAATGTACATATATTTACAACTAAAGAAGAGAGAATGACATTTTTCTGTAGGGCATATCCAATGTACCTAACCTATGATAAAGATAGTCTAAATTAAAAATCATTGTACTATGTATATATGTGTACAAATGTTTTTAGACAAAAATCAGCATACATTATTAGGGGCCTTGAAAAGATATTAAATGACCCAATATCTGTTTTGCTTAGAAAAATGCACAAAAATGACCAAACATATAATTTTAGCTGGTACTTTCTCAAGATTAGTTTTAAAATAGGTGTGTAAGGCTTCATTAGTCACACACTAGCTGGTACTTCACTAATTAGAACTGATCTTCAATTACAAGAATACAGGGGAGAATTCAAAACTATGTTGCATATATCTTAAAGAAAGCTGTCTTTGCTTTCAGAAAAAGCAAAGTCTGTTAATGAAAAGTCTGAGTCTCATTTTTATGGAATTATCTACAAGATGTTTAACTTAATATTTCAACACTTTGTGATATCACTTAGTGTTTCACTGCAGTTTGCAAAGCTGATATCTGTCTGACCACTGTTTTTTCTTCTTATGGTTGGAACAGGAGAAGTTCCACTATTAGCACAGCTTATTGTCGATATGGCACTGTCAACTCTACAAGGTTTTTTGAGAAACATTGTTTGTTCTCTGATTTTTTCCCCAGAAAAGGCAGATACAGGTCTGCTTATTTTTGAATGTACTAGATTAGCTTCTTCACTTCCCAGAAAATCTTTTGGAGATGAAAAAACCCAAGTTTGTACTCTCTCTAACTGCCTGTTTTGTTCCCACTTTCTTTTGGCCTCTTCAAAACGTTCGTTCACATCTTTTAGTTGGCACTCAGAATCCTGGAGTTTTGTCTGAAGATCCTGATTAATCTTTGTAAGGTGTTTTATTTTATCCTCAAACTCAATTATCTGCATTTGCAGATTGTTTTCTGCATCCTGTAATTTGCGGTGGTAAAAATCAGACATCATTTTCTGCTGTTCAAATCCGGATTCTTTATCTTTTAAATCCATTTGTAACTGCATGATCATTTTAGAAATTAGATCTGCTAACTTTGCAAGGCATGTCACACCTTGTGCATTAGGTACAAGTTTTTGAGTCTCAATGATAAAATGCTGCAGTTGGCCAAGGGTTACTTTCACATCAGCAATGGAGTCATTACCAGAAGAATGAGAACCTTGTACAAGTTCATGGATTTGTCTCATCAAATCATCCTGCTCCTGTGAGCATTTACTGGACTGCTGTTCCTTAGCTCTTCTTGCAATAGTTGTTTTCATAAAAATAGGCTGGCGAGTCTTTCTTTTCTCTGCGTGTCCTGGCTTCGAATTACTTCGTTTTGGTGGCTCAGGCATATTTTGTTTTTTTTATACAGAATGTCCATGAATATTCTTGAAGCAAAAGTGGACAATCATTAATTTAGCTTTTTTGGATAACTTTACCTCTGAAGAAGCTTTAGTATCTGAAGTTTCTGTATCACAGTCCACCAAACTTGATTAGTGGTTTGTGGTAAACCCAATTGCTTTGTGTGGTGTTTCAATTCATGCACAACTCCAATATCTATTCACTGGACCTTTAACAGTGTTAAATAGATAAAACCAATGTTCCCACATTAATTAATTATTCATCACTGATGCCTTTTAAGATAGCTATCTTGTTTTAAACAGGTGTTTCCAAAAGAAAATCAGCTGTGTATTGCATTGCAGTTCCATAAGTAGGAGGAGTGATTGTCAACAATTTCTTTTTCAATGTCAACAGATGAATTATTTTCAGGGTTTAAAAAACTGTAAAGACCTCTCTTTGATCATCAATTTTCAAAGATGTTTTTTTTATGACATAGTAAAGAGAGTAAATGATATATTTTTACATTAATCTTCAGAAATTGAACTGTTTGCAAAACTTATTTCAGAACATTCTGTATTTGGAGATAATTGTCTTCCACAGTCTCTGACAAAATTATATTCATTCCTGCAAGATGCACATTTTCCACAGTCATCTTTACCTCCATTTAAATCGGAAAACTCAGGATGGTTCTCAAGCCTCTCTTTCAGCATCTCATTTTCTTGATTTAACTTTTTATTTTCTAACATCAGTTCTATGTGTTTTGATCTGACTTCATTTCTGTATGTTGCCATTGCTTGCAATTCATTATTAAGTTTGTTATTTTTGCTTGTCAATTGTATATTTTCCTTATATAACATCTGAAGGCTTATCGGACTTGTAGAACATTCCTCCTTTAGTTTACTTTTCTCTCTTTCTAACAGCCCATTGCTTGCATTCAGATTTTCAATTTCATCTTTTAGTTTTTTATTTTCTGCTAAGTAAAATGTGATGGCATTCCTATGGCTTCTGTTTTCTTGGTCATTACATGTTTCCAGATTTTTAATGTGATGTCTTAATTCCTCATTGCAGTCTTTTAACTTCTCTCTTTCTTCTTGTATTTCTGTCAGTTTTCTTTGCATAATTTCAAATTTTGTCATCAATTCTAATTTGCTTTTTCCTCTCATTGATGTAAACTCAGAAACCATAAAATCTACTTTGTCAAAGAAACCCTCCCCTGTGTTCTTTACCCCAGGAATTTCCTGATCCAGTCTGGTTTTAAGTTCCTGGCCACGATCTATTGCATGTCCCATCTTATTTAGTAGAGTATCATTTGACTTTCCCAGCAGAAGGTCATGTAGTTGGCTGCTGAATGTTTTATATACAGGACCATAATGTTCTGTACTTCCATTTTCCTGATTTCTACGTCTGTGAGGGAGTTTCATATTGACACTTTTGTGTCCATTAGATTCTCTGCCATGAGGCTTTCCTGCTTTACCTCTGTTTGCTTT